TCATTCAACATTACGAACAAATTTCGACTGCGCCATTAGGCGACCACTTGTTGTCGTAATCAATCTTTTCCATCTTTTATCTCTCTCTTCCTTTTTGAGCAGCGCATTTATTCCCTTGATGCTTTCTTTTCTCGAATGGAACGTCCTTGAGTCGTAATATCCTTGGCCAGTGCAAAGGCAAAAAAAACCCTCTGATATTTGCGCGTCTCGAATGGAGTCGAAATTAAATTACGTTCTACGATCGTCATCGAGCCGATTTCTCGGCGCTGAATGTGACGCTAGACGTCAAAACGATATGTAAAATATTTTCCTTCAACTTAATTTGTCCGCAGGGATCAAAAGATCATGGCCACGAAAAGATTCTTTTTCGATAAAAATGCTTATCAAAATTGTGATTACTGTTTCGAATGTAAGGAAAACGTCGCATAAGTTATGGCTATAATACGGTGTTGAGGAAGGACACGGTATCCCTTAGGTGGCAGATCCTCGAGGTCTCCTCTCGGTTGGAAGCGAACGACAAAAGCAGGACAAATTCCATTATCAATGGATTTTCGCATTAGCGATCGTATCTCCGATATTCCTTTCACGAAGCACCTAACGTGACATTTATTTCCTCTTTCTCGTCCCATCTCGTCCGGTTCGTCTCGTCTGCACACGGATCGAAGATCCTTGGCGCCAACGGCTAAAAATTCGTTTCATTGTGACGGGCCCTTATCGCGAAAATTATGCCAGCGGATGAACGCATTGTTCGAGCGTCGAGCTTTGTTTTCGCCGCTTTCCTCGCGATAATTACTTGAACCGTCCGAAAGAGACTGTGCGACGCGACGCGACGCGTGGAAATTTTCATTCTTCGTCCATTAACGCGTATTCCTGGCAATTCAGCAAAAGGACGGAAAAGCTGTCTACCGGATTGAAACGAAAGAACAGACTTGTCTAGTCTTCGCTTCGAGAGAGTTTACATAAGTGAAAAGCAATTGCTTCCTATATCTTTCTGTAACTTTCTCTCGTTTCGCGAGATAAAGATTGTTAAACAAAACGATATTAAACGAATATACTGTACCGAGTCTGAACGTACTCTGAAGCTGATACAATGTTGCTGCTACAAAAAATCAACCAATCTATAATAAGAATTGATACGTGCTTTTTCGTGGTAAACGATCAAAGTGTTTTGAGAGTTACGGCAATTCATATTCTGTCGTCGATTCGAAAGGGGTTGAACGACACCAGTCAGTGGTTGCAGTGTGCATGTGCACTCGACAGACATCGGTGCAAGAAAAAAAGAGCGTACTTTCGAGTGTTGGTCGAGAGGTTACCCGAAAATAGAGAACACCCGTTTATTTCGGTCGGTGTTGTTTCAAGGTGAAAGGCCGAGTTCGCGCGTGTTCTTCGCTCCCTTTGCTCAAGTACTCTGGCTCGCCTTGCCAAGCCTCACCCTCGTCCTCGATCGTTTGTCGATTGCTGAATAAACGAAAAGAAATATGCGTTTATTCTCTCGGATTTATACACCTATTTCATATTCAGCTTCGTGCGGGGAGCGACTATTCTCTGGAGAAAATTTCATTCGTAGAAAGTTTGCGCGAAATGTAATCGAATCTGCGTTAACTCCGCACCTTTGAACTTTTCCGAAGTTATACGATGATTCTAGACACCATTAACCAGCTCTAATGGAATTCGGCCCGATTGGATAACGATAATAATTTCTCACGACCGCTCCTTGCATTTCATGGAGAACATTCGAACAAGCAAAATTATCGAAGAATTTCAAAAATCGGCGATTACTTGGATCCTTCCACGAGTAGAAATTGCAGGTAACCATAACGATCGGAGAATAAGCAACTTCCCCGTTAAGGAGGTTAATCGAATACAGGTTAACGCGATTAGAACGCTTAATGGAAGACATGGGTGTAAACGTGGTCGCGTGTGGTGACACTCTTCTATAGGGTGCTTCATAACACGCGAATGTCAGTCTAGCGCATGCTCCTCTTCCTTTCGTTACATTCCTGTTATGTTGAAATTAAACTGGTTCGTGCTTATTTTCGTTAAATACGGAAGAAACGGATAGAGATATAAAAGTAGTAGTCGATCGCGAATCGACACTGAATACGACACGTACATAGAGAAACTTTTTATCCATTGTTTTCGCGTTCGGAAATGGGTCTCATGCGTTATGGAACACCTTATAAGCACCGCGAACGGTCGCGCTGTCGCGAGCAGACAAACGTTGAAGAGGAGGCTCGTGTAATGCTCACAGAAAGCGATCCTCGTTTCCCAACTTCCCACGTGCCGACCCATTTATCCTCGGCTGAATGGAGATTCGCTCGAACGAATTCTGCGTCGGAGGAGACGAAACGCAGAGAGAGAAGAGACAGCCGTGAAAGCAACCGCGGTATGATTAGCGAACGCATCGATAAACTGGAACTATAGGCGCCAACGAGGTATGTGCCTTCGAAAGTACCTTTCATATTGTTGTAAACCACGGATTTCCGGTTTCCTCTCTGCTGACACTGTCGATGCTTTCTTACCATGTCATTCGGACGTCGTACGATATAGAATGGTCACGGGTTTTGTTCTATCAGCTATTGAAACGTTCGTTTCGCTCGACAAAGGATTAACCCCTTCGTTTGCAACTGGTATTTGTGCGCGTTCTAGAAATTCGCTTGTCCATAATTACGATCCAGCGCGTAACAAACTGCGACGAAAGAATTAAGAAAACGAGACTATTAAATATTCCAGCGCGGAAACGAGATTAAAAGTTCCCTGACTGTATGAAATTTGGAACGGACCGTGACGGACATTGATGAAAAAAAGTTTCTGTTCGAAGAATTGGCCCGTAGCCATTCCGTTTCTGGCACTTCGAAGCAACCAGACGACAAAATCCGAAATCATAAAGCCAGACGTGGAAATTCAAATATCGTTGAACTCCTCGGTGCGCGCATCGATCAGTTGAGCCAATATTATCGATGAACTAACGGCCAGCTAATGAAAGGCTTTTAACCCATTTCCTGCGTTAAGTTCAATTTGGAAATTTCAATGTTCAGTCAAATATAATCAATTTTCCATACCGAACACTGTCTTATATTTGAGGAAGCTGCGTATGAAAGAGTCGAATGAAACGGATAGAAATTTCGTCGTTGCATTTTATAACGAAACGATCGTGGGATTGTTTGTTTCCCAAACGTGCAGAGAAACTTTCAAAGTGGTTGCAGAGGGGACTAAATATAAAACATGGTGTTACGCACCGATGCAAGAGCGGGATGTGCCCTGCTAACGACTATGCAATGTAGATCGCGTTAACAATGTGTAATCGATGATAAGCGTTCGACGAGACGCAAGATCTACCGGTGAATTATTCGCAAGCAATATTAACCCTCGACTGACAGAGTCAAGTCCCTATTTTTTTTTCATAATATATTTCCAATGTATAGAAGTCTTTTATTTGAATAAAGAAGATAATTTCGGTGTGCATATTTTTCCTTTTTGCATAAAATCCATACGAATTATACGCTGCGTAAAGTATGCGCGAATTGAAACTGGACGCTCCCTTCCGGACGTAGACTTGCAAATCGACCAGATTGTCACGCCCAAAAGAAAAACCGTAGAAAATAACTTTATGTAACGTTTGTTGATCGGTGAAACGTAAAATCGTGTTTCGTGGCTATAATTTGCAAATGTACATTATCTGTTGGGTAAGTAACGAGGCAATAAATTTGATGTTTAATGGCGTTGCTTTACAAAATCGATATAAACTCGATAGGGAATCTAGTAATACTTTGTGGAGTTCGTTTAATGAAGAAAATAACTATTCGAGTGACAAAAATAGATAGCATTCTCTGTCTTCGATATTACGTTATTCAATTTGGTCTTGAGTAACTTTAATGTTCGAACTACGAGCGAAATGAAATATAAACAAGCAACGTAATAATAAATGCACTAAAGTACGAACAAGTAAAATTGAGCGAAAACATCGATACAACAAATTGAATTGCATATGTTGACCTTTGTTTCAATTTTAACGATCGATGATGCCGTCCCGCGAGAAATCAAAGGAAGAACGCGATACATCGTATCGATTATTTCTTTTGCAACCTCGACCGATCGAATGACCTATCGTACGGTAACATCCTCTTTAAGAGCATGATACATCACTGAATAGGAGCAGCGCATTATCACGAACTCTGAGGTATCTTTTCTCTTTCGTCAATTCGATCTTTGCCAACGAATGTTCAGGGAAACTATAATTCTCCTTAGAAGATTTATCGTTAATAGCAAATCTCGCCAAATTCTGAAAATGGATAGCGATCAGAATCGATAAAGGAGTAATTGGACATCAACGGAATAAAAGATTGATCGCAATCTATAATGACGTATTTATAGTTGAAAAGTCGATGCAGGAAACACGATTGAAAATACTGGTCGCGAACTTCACTGGTTCGATATTTTTCGATATCGATATCGTGTACACTTATTCCGTCTTTCGTCACTTTGTCGAGAATCTGTCGCACGTGAAGTAATTGAAATGAATCCATAAGGAGAAATTTTAAAACACGATCGAGTAAGCACGGTTTACACCGGTGTAAACGAGAATACGACGACATCGTCGTGGGAGTACAAGTGAAATCAAAGGAACAAGAACCTTGGTATGGTTCGTCGATCTCGTCTCTCGGAGAAAACGATAACTCGAACGCAACGGAAACAACGATAGACGCAATTGTTTTCGAAGATCAACGATCCGAGAAAAAATCCGACTGATTGTCATAAACGATCGAAGCATCGAAATTCAACCGTGTGCAGCAGGTGCACAAGAAAGGTTTCAATCACGATGTGTCGTCAATTGTCCTGTCAAAATACGCTTAAAATAATCTCGTATACCGTAAAAGATACATTGTACCCGACACGTTACGATCGATTGGAGCAACTTAAAATTTATTTGACAGGAAGCTCGTAAATTATATTTCGACTCGATTATCGAACGGATATTAGAAAATTTGATGTTCACTTACGGTAGACAGGAAGTTAGGAGGACGGGGCGACCAGGCGCCTCGGTGAACGACACGGAGCAGGTGCGACGTCGGAATTGAATACGTAAAAGTAATAACGGTGTGCACTTTCGATGTAGCTAGTAGTGGCCAATGCCACGACGAGTAACAACCGCGTCGTCACGACCACTCTCCGAAACACGAGGGCAAAGTAAGTCTTCTGTACGCAGGCACGCACGCAAGCAAGCACAAATACTTGCACAGGTTCCTTAAGAAACGAATGCGAACGTGAACGTGAACATGAACGCACACGCGGTTAACAGCGGGTACACACCGCCGTCAGATCGTATACACACCACGTATCGTGGTAGCGAGCGTGAAAATATGACAGCCATCCGGCACTGTCTTACGCCAACTGGTGTTTACTACTGAAACGCTCCGTCGTCCCTCGAGCCAACGGCTCGGGACTCGGGACGAGGAACACACCGGGAACCAGCAAGGGTCTCGACGAGTGCAACAGTTGCTCGACCGGAGCGCCTCGCGATGTCGATTCTTGTTATTAACACCCCTAGCTATACTCGTTCACGCAGTCGATAAACGAATACTCAAATATTCTTCGAAATTCGTTGAAACCGAATGACACTGACATTTCGCTGTATAACTTATACTTAACATATGGAACTTTTTAGATTAGTGTCACTTTGTGTGATATAATGCGGTATGATACGATGCGCGACAATTCAACGAATAATGTAATATGTTGATATTACTAGAAAATAATAAAGAATTATTCGATATAAAAAATGTTTATTACGTTACAATACATAATCGAGAATTATCAAACAACTGTTTTTTACCATTTACTTAAAATTAAATTCAATTGATTTTTAGAAATTGGTTCGCTATATTGAACATTTTCAGAGTTACAAGATTTTAATACGTGCGTATGATATGCTTCTATCAGACACACTTCTTCGTAAAGATCTTCCGTCGACATTTCTACAGTAAGGGCACATTCATTTAATAACCAACGAAATGTTCTTGGCAGTGCTCTTTCAAATACTGCAAAGTTCTTTGGTTTGACGCGACTGAAAATACAATGATACATCCAGTATTCTTTAAAAGGTCTGAAAAATCGTTCCACATTAGTATTGTTTTCCTTGCTTGTAACTAATGTTGAGACATCAGTATTTCCATAAGACGTTGAGATATCATTTGCATCGTACGAATCAGGTACATTCGAAAAAACAGTTTCAACTTTTGTAATGGCATCGATGTCATCAAAATTTGAATGTCTCTCATCAGTCGTGTTTAATTGGGCACTATTACCTAAACCTACATGCTCGCCACTTTTGTTAACTTTTTCAATACTGTCTTTAATAAACTGCCCCTTAGTATTTCGGGCCATTTTGGACTTTTGTTTCCTAAAATGTGCCATTGTCGTCGTATCTAAATTATTTACAGACTCTTTTTCTGCAAGCGACAATTGTAAATTATATTTATCACAGAATGCGGTTTTTAGTAACATATTTTCTTGTCTTGACGTGTTTTCTTCTTCGTTTTTATCTTCGGAATCGTTATTAGTAGGAATTGCTAATTTGCCATTTGGTAATGTTTCCATAAATATAAAATCATTTTTCACATCAATATCGTTAAAATGTTTCATCGTACTTTTGCTCTTGTCATAATACTGATGTTTAGCGACATCAAATTTCATTTTACATGGCAATTTAGCATGTAAGTAGTCGTTTAGACTTTCATTGGCATTTAGATTTTCGTATTCGTTCACGCGTTTAGACTTTGAATCATCCTGTATGTCAACGAGTTGTTGCAATTCTTTTATACTTGGCATTTTGGGTTGTTCAAACGGAGGAACATATTTCTCCAGGAAATGTAAATTGGAATCAACAACTTCTAATCTAATGTTGTACTGGTCTGCCAGTTCTATGAGCCTAGAAATAAAATAAATATATTTTAATTCATATATCAAGAACCTATCTATAATTAAATGATTGATGACAACGTACAAATTAGGCTTTGTCGTGTATCCAACTTTTGCAAGGAAAAAGTCACTTCGTGCTATATTAGGAATATCGTAATACGGATGATCCAGCAACTGTTGAAAGTACGAATGAAGTGGTGTTAAAGATGGTGGAAATATTTCTATTGTTTTGGGCGACAAATCATTAATACTTAAGTTAGTTATATGTTTTGTCATGGCACTAATAAGATCATCGGGTAAAAAATGTTTGGAATTTTTTGCATCTGGTTCTTTTTTATCCGTTTTAGAGGATATATGCTCTAAAAATTTTACATACGAATCGTTAATTCCAACTGACTCCAGGCTATATTTCATTTTGGTTGGAAAATGTGCGTGCGCTAAAATCGTTTTCCTACATTCAATGTATCTCTGCCACTCATTAAAGCTGAATAGTTTGTCATTGAACGAATTTTGATTAAAAGCAGCGCTGAAATAAAAATGATTTATTTAAAAAGATATTTGAAAGAAGGTAATATAATTAGTGTAATGGACGAAGATGTAGCATCATAAATACAATTATATATGGACATTTGCATTCACAATCTTTCTCGTTAAAACTTTTATACGTTTCGTTTTTTTCTTCGTGTAATCTTGCTCCGTATGTAATCGAATCATTTAAAATTACAGCATATGGCATTTTTTCAGAAGTAAAATATGTTGCCCAACTCCCGTTTGACTGAAGCGTTATTCCACCACCGACTTTATCAAATTTTTTTAACATACAAGTAAAATGTTTTTGGAGGACCTCCTCCGGTGAACCTCTGTCTTCGATGTCCTCTACGATCTCACGCCCTAATCCTAATTTTATTATAGACTCCCCATGACCGGTTAAAGAACAACCAACATTTTTAGTAGCATATGTACCACAACCCAATATAGGGGAATCTCCTACTCTTCCAACTAACTTTCTATTTAAACCACCTGTTGTAGTCCCAGCAGCAATACTATATCCATCATATGCAACACAACCGACAGTACCGAAATTATCTATAACATATAACTGGGTAAATGCAGAGAATTCCAATTTTTAAATATATTTCTATTATCATAGACTAATTTACTCGTGTATGTATCAGCATTTAGTAAGAACTGATCAGTGATATCTAATTCGAATTTTCCTGTTTCTGTTGATTCGAAAGCTAAGCGTGCACTTGGTGCTACCATATTTCCTTCTGATATCCAATTCATGTCCGCGTGCTTTGCTAAATGTTTGGCACCATCGCCGACAAAAATAGAATTCGGAAAATAGTTCATAACATATTTTGCGAGCATTATGGGATGTTCTATATCTGAAACTGCTGCTACAGATCCGCATTTAAACGTTAAACCATCCATTATACTTGCATCCATTTGTACCTTCCCTATGTTGAAGATAGTAATAGGTATGCAATAGTATAATTTAGTTGAAGCCTATTAAAATGCTATTATAGAAATACCTAATTCATTTAACACAGATCCATAACTACAATTAAAGAATTCGTCGCATTCTAACCACCACAACGCTGTTTCTACTGCATCCACCGAGTTCTCACCGTTTAATAACATTTTATATCCATTAATGGCAGCTTTTTTGCAAGCTGTCATTTTTTCTATAACTATAGAATCGCTAAAATCTCCTGCACCCCCGTGTACTATTATACATGGACTATTAGATTCATAACATTTGCATTCTCTTTCTCCAATTCTCTTTCGCGTGTTATTTGATAAATTGGAATATGCTGTAATATTTTCATACTGCATTTTTGTTCTAAATGAAATAACTATCAAAGAATATCACCCACTACTGAATAGAAATTATTAACTCTAAACATATAATTTTGAGGTTCAAAACATAAAACAACATATAGATATTCATTTTTTTAACATACCTATTGATCTTTTCTGCAATTCTGCTAATTTGATATTCAGTTATACCATCTAAGGCAAACAAGGTTTTTAATACTACAATAATAAATGCTATTGCACGGCCTTCATAGTTCGGAATATATGACTTTTTGGAATTAAATATCATTTTAGGTGGTGCTAAAGCTATTAATCTTTCTGTGTATAGCTGAATGCCTCCTAAAAAAAGTTACACCTGTAAAATTGCATTAACAAAAGTATCTATAAATTTATTACACAAAAATTATTCACATACTTGGTAATGCTAATTCCTGACAATATCGATTAACTAAAGGTAAAAAATCTGGGCAAGTTAAATTCCACACATCAAGAAATTTTGCCATAGTTGCAATAATTCGTCTCATACCTTTATGCGTAATTTCGACGGTTTGTGACAAAAAATGTTTTTCAATTTTAGTTGAATTTACTTCTGGTGGTAATAAATGATCTAATTTATAGTAAGATAAATGACCTTCTCTCCCATACCTATTGGATATTTTTGTATTTAAAATTTCAGTATGTAGTCAATAATAATACGTACACAAAGAAACATGTAACGCGTACCTTAGCATATCTCCCAGTTGTATGGGCTGATGATGAACTCTTAGAGCCAGATATATAATTGCCCATAATTTCATTGGAGTAATTATATGTGGTCCCACTTTATATTGAGTACTTATGTGTGATGCTTTATATTTAGATCTTTTATACTTAGGTATATTTTTAGATAATCTTTTAATCTTTTTAGCTTCCTTTTGAGCATGAGAACTGAACCTCACTCTATAATGTGATATAAAATATATTAGAATATAGAAATTTGCATGCATAAAAAGATCAAATACATACCTCGCACCATTATCTGAAGACTTAATAGAACCAGTTTGATCACTGTACATACTTTGACTAACTGTATTTGTATCGTCCATTTCAGAACTAGCTTGAGACTGAAGATATCTATCATAATCTGCAGCTACCAAAAGTTTCTGGGAAAAATTATTTTATACATTGTACAAATCACAAATTGCACTATGAAATAAACATTATAGAAATAATTACCTTATTTCTACTTAATTCTTTAGCAGAACTACCTTCGCTCTGAAAACCTGATATAGAAGTATTTGTACTACTTCCACTTCTTCTACGCCTTTTAGACCTTTTTTGTGTTTTGACTTTACCATAAATAATTGCAGCATCCCTGAAATGATCAAAATTTGATTACATTTACATTTAAGTAAAATGATGTTTTATTTTAAATATACCTTCTGTTATATCTTCTGGCCAATTTTGGAATACTTTTATGTTTTGTCGAAATAAATGCAACCTCTAGTTTTCCTAAATATGTTGCCCATAATTGTAATATTGTCATTTTTATATCAGGTGTAACTCCAAGTTCTATAAGTTCATTTGTTAATCCAATGAGTACAAAATTATACACTTCCCACGAGGTCCATCCCAATTCTTCTCCTAATGATCAAAGCCACAATTTTATATTTAAAAACTGGAATCGTTGTCAATATGATATCTGAATATAAAATTAAACCTGATGCATCAGATTTTAATTGTCTAATTCTCGTTCTTCGTAACCTTGTTGTATTATCTACACGCAATTCAAAGACCTCTTCACGAATATTCTGTAAAAGTAACATAATTAATAAATAATCTTTTTTGAAATGTAATTCAAAAAACAGTACCTCGTTTTGAGTTTGACATGTTTGACAGAAAAAATAACCAGCTTCTTTATAAAAATCGGTGCTTTTACAAACTTTGCACGTGTACATTTTATTTACAAACTTATTAAATCCAAAATTGTACTTTATTACATACTGAGGTTATACAACGCATGTACTCGCTGTAAATTTGAAATTCTAGTAGTGTTTGAAGTTTCTATTTTATACATGTGGTTGTATTCGAACATGAACTACAATTGGTGCAACGCGGCCGAATGATGCATCGGCGATTCAAGCAAAACGTACCCTTTGGCGTGCGTGTAGCGTATAGCGTTCACAGCTAATTTACGGTTGAGCTTTTGAAGAAATGTAAACAATTGGAGTTTTTATTTAAAAAGTGTATAAACAATTAAATGCTATATGAAACATACACGGTGTGGCAAATATTCAATTGATCTATTGTGAGATGGTGTAATCATTAAATTGTATACTGAAAATTTATTTCGTTAATGGAACTATATAAGTCGATACAGCATTCGATTGTAACAGCGTCCTAACCTTTTTCTCGTATCAGACTCCTTGAAGAAGTTTTGTATTTTGAAATAGGAAAACTTGGTTAGATTCTGTAATGTTTATGAATAATTTTCTTCAAGGAACAAGTTTATCGTGGAAATATGACAATGCACGGAAGATGACAAAACGCGTATAGTTCGCGATTATGGAGTATGACTCTGCGTCGAGTTGTGAAGGCCGTCTGAGAGATTTTGAAGTATCAGATGATCTGTCGCGTTTAGGAATATCACAAAAACCTGAACATTCTGCTTGTAACACAAATTCCACACCATGGCACTCTCTACAAGTCGTGGCACCACAGCCAAAGTTAAAAGTGGGGTCAACAAACAAAAGTCTTTCTTCGCAAGTAATGGAGTATTACCACAAATATTCTCAAAATGCAAATTTAGATCAGTACTTTTCATTGCCTACAACCAGTGCATCACCGGAAGCTATTAAATATTATTATAGTATATACAAAGTGAATCCCAAGTTAGATCACAGACAAGATTGTATCGGAGAAGAATATAATTTAAGATCTTGCGTGCCCAGAGAAAGGAGAAGATGGGTAAGACCACCTCTTATTGGTCAGTCTTCGAATACAGAATCATCATCCAGGTATGTTCAGCCATTGTCCAACCCAGAGTCTCCATCGCCTGATTTAAAACACATTACACCAGAAACAATTTTAGAAGAGAAACACGGAAGTCCAGAGATATTAACAGAAGTTACAGAAAGAAAGATATCTTCTCCAACTTCTAGCATTGCTTCTCACAAGCCGCTTGAATGGGACAGCGGTGCAGATGTTGGATACTTCAATATATTACCTGCTAGTAAACAAAGTGACAAAAAATTAAGTACAATTGAACGTATGGCTTTAGCTAGAGGTTGTTCTGCTGCCTTGAGATTGGATCCTGAAGGTACTACAGAGTCAGGAATTTCTGGAAAAGTAGCCGGAAGTCAGAAAAGTACCAAAGTTTCCATGACTCCAGATGCTAATTCTACTCCCTTACTGGGCAATGCTTCAGGATCAGAAAGCGAAATCGAAATCACTCCAATCGTGAAAAATCATTTGCCAGGTATAATAGCAGGAAATTGTATAAAATCCAATGAAAGATCTCTTTCCAAGGATCTCAAACAGCATGATGTGCAATCCTCGAAAAGGGAGCACATTCATGACACGCCTAAATCGACGTTTGCATTTAAAGTACCTTGCACGAAGTATGCAACCGAGGTGAGAAAAGTAACAAACAAGCAAACCACGTGTAAAGAGAATATAAATCCACTCGCTTTGCCTTTGAAAAAAAGCACATCAATGAACACGTTAAATGTACCAGCTACAAAATCAATCCTAAAAAGAAGTCAAAGCGAGTTAAACTTGTACGCTAGAGATAAGAATAGAGCTACGTTGCCGTTAATTTTTAACTCTTCCTCTTCGATCTCTACTATTGTAAATAAACCTTCCACTTGTGATAAAGTTATACAAACGAGTCTGAACACGTACACTCAAGAATCCGTCGGTGTTCAAGTTTCAGTTCTTGAGGAAGAAAAGCCACTGTTGCCAAAGAGAGGAACTAGTTTACAAAAAAGTTTCGTAAAGAATGCACCGAGTAATACGTACAAGGTTTCAAATTCGAGGAAGGAGGAAGCAACGATTGAAATGAGCGAGCAACGACGTCGCGACGAAGTCAAACCGCGATCCGCACGTTCTGAAGTATCAAGGAACGGATCCGCGACGCAAACGCCTCAACTTGACGACACGGAAAATGTAACGGGCAGGGCGAACAGTTTTGAGTATTTTCCAGGTCACATTTACGAGAATGTGTCGAACGGAACCGCTAGCCATGTATCGTCGTCAGAGACCACAAGATCACACTCCACTCTTCCTAACACCAGTTCCAGTATTAACGAAAAACTGTGGGGAGACTCGGACAGCTTGGTGAAAGACCTGGAACGCAGCGTCAGCATCTTGAAGAGTTTGGTCGACGCAAACAAGTGCGACAAGGAAGTAAAGAAAAGACTGATACATCACGTGGTAAAAAGACTAATAACAGCCAAATATACGGACGATAAGATTGAGCACAATTTAGAGGACAACGTTCCGTGGAACCCGGACGATGCTAGGCAGAAAGTTTACGGAGCAGAAATATTTCAAGCTTTAACAAAGAAACACAACACCAGTGATTCTTCAGTCGATTGGAATCCACAGAAAGGAATGGCGAGGGACAAATCTGCGAGAAACGGGAGGAGCATCACGAAAGACGTTACTTTGGATAGCAGTAGCGACAAAATGGACAAAAATACGGATAGGACGGAGACCGATGGACGAAAAGCGAGAATGGGTCTCAGGCTGGATGACTGTCGTCGAAGCAACAACACTACCACTGACCCCGACAAAAGCGAAAGCTCCGATTGCTTTTTTCCCCAGAGAGCTCGCAAGGGTAACAAGGTACAGGACATATTCTGCGTGAAGGAGAGGTGCAAATTATCGCAAGGAGACTCGTCAACGACCAACACTACACCACCCGATCACAATAGAATGCTCTTGGATGCGGTAGTTAATAATAGGAAAGCAAGCGTTCGCTTGAGTAACAACACGGAGGAGCAAGTGGACTGGAGGTTGCTCACCACCTTTTCTGAAAGACAATTCGAGCTGAAGAAGTGCAGCAATTCTGACTCCGGGGATTCGAAATTAGTTAGTTACGCCGAAATGGAGAAAAGAAATCAACTACTTTGGATTACAAACGAGATCAGCCACTTATGCAATTTGAAGAAACTGTTGGAGGAGCCGCGGAGACTAGACAGACCACGAACATCTCCAAAGAAATCCAGATGTGGGAACTTTCGGACGAAACCTGTAGGGTCTCTGCCTCACATGCACGGACTGTCCAAAGTAAACGATTATTCTCAGAGGAACGGATCAGATGCTCGAGCTAATTCCGTGGAAGACCCTTGGTCGTCTCATTGTAATCTGGCAGCATGTCAGCCTACCAGCAGGTCTAACAGCATCATTCAGCGTGTCAAGAAACGCAATAGTTGCGCGCAAACAGCGACCAACGTCACGGTTGCGCATTCCAAGACTGGCGGCGAGATCGTGTCCGCATCCAGCATACACAACTCTACGATGAAACTGATCAGTACCGGGGTGCAAACGGTTCCACAAGAATCTTCTTCCACTGCCCCTACTTTGATACAGTCGGAGATCGTTCATTACATAAAGTGTCCTGCGCACGATGCTATGCAGTCCACTCAGTGCTTGAAGCATCAAGCCATTCAAAATATACTCACCACTTGTGTGCATTGTTTGCAGGAACAGAAGGATCAGTCGAACAAAGTTCAAAAAGTGTATCCCAGCGTGATGAACTTGCAGGAAGAAGGTCCTTGCGTTGCCTCTCAAACGTCCTCGGATCAGGCGAACAGCATCGGTTCTTTAGACATGATCGTGCAGCAGCATTGCGCCGACAAAGAGGTTCAGACCAATTCTTCCAAGCAAAAGGATGCGAAAAATCAAATAAATGCGTCGAGGTCGAAGTCCTGTGATTGCAAACGCGAGATTAAGCGGCAGTTGTCTAAGGAATGTCGATCATGTTCTACACAAGTAACGATGGAAGCTAGCAGCGTTCTCTCTAAGTGCTCGGATTGTCAGAAAAAGGCATCTTGCGTTCGTGAAAGGGAGGACATAAACACGAAAGAGTGTAATTGCACCGCTGCTTGTGAGTGCGAGAATACTCTGTCCAAAAAGGGATGGAGAAACGGTACAAAGTATTATCAGGATAGCAACGACTATGTTTCGAGTTCTAATCAAAATAATTGTACAAAATTATGCGAATGTTTGAACGACTGTTCTTGCGAAAACAGTTGTAAAGCGCACTACCATTTAAATGGTTGCCATTTGAATGGAAAGACTCAGAGTTCGAATGGAACTTGCCATTGTGGACACTGGTCAGAAGCGGAAAATCGTTTGATCCACACGCGACCTTATTGCTCGACTAATGGACCAACAGAGTCTTCTCAATATAAAGTACAAAAGAGTAGCTTGAAATGCAACTGCGAGAAGGATTGCCTTTGTAATGGTAGAGGAAAGAATAGCGAAGACACGTTGCGTAATAGAATCTGCACTAATGGTAGATTAAGCTACGTGGCCGAAGAAAGTAATCAAAACAGTGATTCTGATAGGAACTATAAACAGTGTCGTCATTGTGGCGCGGCTTATCAGAGCGTCCAAAAATGTAATTGTAATCAAACGTATCCAAAAGCGGTAGCGTACGAATTATCATTCTCTAAAGATAACGACCGGAAAAACGATAATCTGGCGGTGTTACAAAAAGTGCCATTACCGAGTCGTACCATAAACGGGACTAAAATCGATGGCTGTGTCTGTAATATGATTAAAAAGAGTAGCTCGAGTAAAAATGCGACTCAAAAGAATACTTTGCAGGTATACACATTGAACTTGATACGGTTAATGGTAATGATACGAGTAATTTTGGGTTCGTTTAATCATTTCAGGATTACTTGTCCAAGAATAAAGCTGATTTTGTGAGCAATGCAGAAACACGGAGACAATATATGTCGGAGATATCTCATCTACGACAACTGCGCAAGGAGAAACGTATACAATTATTGGCTATGGCTACTACGTCTAACGTTACGAAACCATTAAAAGCTTGTACCAAACCGACAGGTAAAAATTGATCACTACAGATAAGAATCATGGATTTCGCTGACGATCGAAATGATAAGATGTAGGAAACTGCCGCGGATAAACATTATATCCTACTTGAAATTTGAACCACATGATATTGCCTATAATTAATGATGATGAGCTACATAAACATAAGATCAGAATGACTTATCATTTTATTCGTCAGCGAAGTTGTAGCGTGTTATTTTCCATTTACATTACTTTTTAAATTTGTAATATAGTTTGTTCTCAGAGAAAGATGAGCGACGAAGAAATAAGGGAAAGACTACGGAAAAGATATCTTCGTTTAAATGAAGTGCGACAAAAGAAACGGCAACAGGAGAAGCAAGAAGAGGCGCGACGTAACAAGCTCATGGCTAAAATCTTTTGTAAGAAGTTGCAGCAAAAAGTATTGAGGGGCCAAGTAGATCTTTCACAAAGCGTTAGCGTTATATCGAACATATAATGTTAAGAAGGACAGTAGAGGAGCGTACAAAATATTTCACCTTTCGATTTGGAAGGGCTATTAAATTGAAAGATTTTGTTTAGAATCACTTTCTTGAGTCTTACTTTTCTTTACATTATCGCATAATATATATATACATATCGTATTCGTGTTTATGTTTTAATTTAAAATGCGTTTGAAACACTATAGCTGCGTTTGTTGATGCTCGTGTATGACGCGAATCAAAACTTAAATGATCTATGAATAACAATTTGTTATATGTAAGAATTGAAGTATTATAACGTGTTGATCTATAAATTCGTGCCTAATAATTTATGGTATTTATACCGAACTTGATGAAACCTTGTCTTGCCAAGATATTTTCATATATTAAAGATACGTTTGGACCACGGCGCACGTTGCATTAGATCTGGTATAGTGTTACAATAGTAATAACTGATTTTCGTGGAAAAACGATTAGAGGTTTCACGACGTTCGAGGTTTCGCATTTTACTGGTAAAATGTTATTAAAAGGAAAACCTTCGAGTGCTGTGGAAACGTTCGTAGAAAACCGAAATGCTTTAAGACGATGAAAGTAGTTATTAGTACCTGAATCACAGTACACAACCCTTTGTTACTCATAAGACTTAGATGATATATATAGTCCCCTAAATTTTTCTAATATTTTACCTTTTTGTATGACGATTATACTCATTTGGTTAATAAAAATATAACACATAAGAGCCGCCTTTTTTGTACTTTTATCTTCATGCAATAACAATAAGTCTGCTCAGAGTTTGTCTACTCGAGATACTTTGCTCAAGACATTCACACTGTAAAAACGTTAGAAACTTTTTACATTACACGTGTGTACCGAGACTGATTTCACTCTTGAACATTATATTTTTTATCGCTCATTTACCGTCCTTGGTTGTTGAACGAAAATAATACAGTACAAAATATTTATTAAAAACCAAGTTTCTTGATTCTCGCATTACGTCATAATTACCCAATTTTCCTGAACAAATATATTTCCTTGAAAAAGTCATCAATTGTCTCGGAAATTCAATTAACCGACTAGAGGAGAAAATGAATAGACTGCAACCTTGTTCCAGTAAAACCAACGCTGAACAAAAACTTAACAATTTTAGCTCCATTTGTTACACGCTCTATATAAGAGCATCAACAGAATTCAAAGCAGTCGGTTTTCTCTGGAAACTGGGAACGAGTCTCGTTCGACATACATCAACGCTAAATTATAAATTATTTCTCAAGTTGGCTGTTTAAAGCTTGGCTCGAATGCGGTGTTCATTCGACTGTACAAAATCGGTTCTTGCATCTTTGATCAACGATCATTACAAATAAGACTTGTTTTACAGCATTATTTTTATGTTATTGATGGAAAATTAATCCAGGGCGTGTTTGTGTTGAAAAGTACAAGGTAATTCCTCACAGTTTGATAAGGACTTGCAATGGACTCCCCACCACTAATCACAATTTGATGCCCCGTATCGAGATCAATTAGTTTCCGATATCAACGACGTACGAGTGGAAAATATCATATTCAACACAAGACTGGCGAAACGCAATAACATATTATAAATACCCCAGTTTTATCAAGTTATATTCTTTCAGACGTAATTTGTTAGTTGTCTTTTACAATATTAAATACGTTAACAGTTTATTGCAACAGTTAATTTATTTTAGAAAAATGGCTTCAACAGTTGATTCGAAAAGTGAGTTAAACCGGCTTTTGCACGAAACATTTACCTCTCCAGTGCGTAAGGGATACATCACTGTGCAAGGGTTCTGCTTACCCGAAAGATACCAAAAGTTTGCACAAGCGATCGAGGATTTCGAAGTGAAAGATGACGACGTTTGGGTTTGCAGTTTCCCTAAAACCGGTATACCATTTTATATATTTCGAAGAAACTAGAAGTGCATAAACAATGTTTAATTTAAACAATGTTTAATACTGTCAGGAACTACGTGGACCCAGGAAATGATATGGTGCATCGCAAACAATGCGGATTTTGAAAAGGCAAAAGTTCCCCTGAACATAAGATTTCCATTTCTCGAGTAAGTCGACAAACCAATATATTTTTCTACAAGTCTATCATGTATAAACGAATATTACGTTTTGGCTAGGTTCTCTGCGCTATTTGATTTTGCCGCAGTACCTGCTCATCCGGAAATGAAAAATGATTTGACGATCACGGACAGCGTGACCTACACGAAGAATCAAACCAGTCCAAGATTTATCAAGACTCATTTACCTTTTCGTTTATTACCACGACAGATTCGAACGGGCGAAAAGAAACCAAAGATCATCTACGTTTGCAGAAATCCCAAAGACACTTGCATTTCTTACTATTACCACTGTAAACTAGTAGAGGATTATCGTGGCGATTTCAACACCTTCTGTCGCCTTTTCTTGGGTGACACATGTACGTATAATTGTAATAGAAGTAACAATCAATTTTGTTCTATTTAAATGCTTTATCACAGTGGGCTACACTCCATATTGGGATAATCTTGTCGAGTTTTGGCATAAAAGGAACGAGCCTAACATACTATTCTTGAAGTACGAGGACATGAAAGCTGTAAGTAACGAATTTTAATTAGAAAATAGTAATGCAGAAGTCTGATGGGATGTTTCAAATTTAGGATTTATCTGCGGTGATCAAGAAATCAGCAGCGTTTTTGAACAAATCCGTGTCCGATGATCAAATGAAGTTGTTGCTGGATCATCTAAGTTTTGCCAGCATGAAAGCCAATCCGGCTGTAAACTATGAGCACGTAGTTGAAAATATTAAGAAGCGCCGAGAGGTTGTCGGAAATGATAAATTCATACGGAGTGGTAAAGTTGGTCAATGGAAGGAAGAAATGCCTGAAAATATTATACAGCAGTTCGATAAGATGACAAAGGAAAAATTATCTGTACACAACCTCTTCTTCTAAACTAAAAAATGTCATAATAAACAGTTATTTGTTAAATCTTAACTTTGTTGTCTTTGGTTCCAAGCATCGAAGAATATTAGGCATGCTAGTTTTACACAATTCACCGATCGAAGCTTTCGTCAAAGGCGTAACTACACTCGTGTCGCTTCCTCTTTCGATTAGAACGATCGCAGCGTCTCTTTTCTTCCATATAATCGCTATCTGAAGAGCAGTCAAATTCATGTTGTCTCGTGCATTCATTTCAGCACCATGATCCAACAAAAGAGAAAGAATACTCAAATTCGAAAGGTATACTGAAATAGTGAGTCTTTAGAGATTGCATAAACTCCTTTTTCTAAATTTGATTTACCTGACACCATGAGCGGTGTACGTCCTTGGTAATCTTGCTGGTTTATAAAAGCACCATTTTCTAGAAGAAACAGCACATTTTTTAATCGCTCTCCTACAATCGCGTACTGAAGGCAAGTCCAGCCTCTTCTATAAATATTTAAGTCGTTTCGTAAAAAATACGGTAAAACATTGTAAAGTTTATATTTCCCAAGAGCAAAGAACATTTTCTACTCATTCTTCTTCGTTTCTTACATATCCACTTGCTGTAGATCTGCTCCTTTTTTTAAAAGAACTTCCAATATTTCCGGTTTCCTCGAAACGAGAGATGCATACATGAGAGCCGTTCTTCCACAAGGCTGAGTAACGGCATTGTTTAAATTCGTCGAAATTTTATCCAATAAAATTGACAAGATTTGAGGATCGCCGCGATCGATGGTCGATGTTAGAGGCGTTTTTAAATTTGGTGTCGGGTAATGCAAATCGATTGAAGGACTACAATAATTGCATATCAACATTGAGAAATGAAATTATACATTCAGCTTATACCTACTTGTCTGTCAAAAAGTCTTTAATTTGTTTGATTGTTGCGAATCTAAGAATCCACATAAACCGCTCCTCGATCGATCCTGAGGAGAAACATTTCACCATTGCGAATAGCTGATAATTATTCTATAACATTATCTTACCATTTTGCTCGAAATTACATGCCATGTTTAATATACAAAATCAGTTTAACTTGCTTCTGCGCCGGTCTGGAATCGATCAAACATCACATGTTTATCTTTACTTGAGCTTTTGAGGCTTTGGAGCTTTGGGATCTCGGAGTGTTGGAGTTTAAGGTCTTTAGAAACTAAAGTTGTAAAGTTTCTACTTTACAAAATATCAACAAAGTTTTTCGGGATCAAATATCCTGCAATTTCCTTGCCAGTACATTCCATTCTAATGAGCACCGGAAGGGCAACAATCCAGTGACACCGTCTTTCTTCCTCCACGTCGAGGAAACTCAGAAAGTCGATGAATCGCGATCGAGGCCCCTCCAAAACACATACATATACTTTCTCTTTAAGGCGGCAACACGTGCCAAGGTGGTTAGTATACTATCCGTTCGAGTAGCCAGGTCTACTTTCTAGAGAGACGGTAGCGAGAACGAGTCGAGGCCGCGTCCATTCCAGTATCTTTTGTTCTTTTCTCAACGCGTTTCCTCTGTAATAAATATTATTTTAGACTTTTTATAAATTCAGTGATCGACGAAACAGAAATCGAATCGTTCAAGAGTTAATTCTGAGACGTTCGGATAATCTGAGGATGGTGAAGTAATGGCAGATGTTACGAAAAGATGGATAACGTGTGTTCTAGTGACAGTTCTGGCATGCGTGTTATTTCCTACCCGTGGTACGTATTTTTAAGAACACTAATGATACACAATTTCAAGTAGTTTCAATCGATTCTATAAAGTATGCTTATAATATGTGATTCGTAAAACATTGACGATTCGTAAGACATTGAAACAAGCATTGAAATCTCCACTGATCATTAGCTATAGCAGCTACCCTTTTCCAAACAAAGAATTTGTCGTTACTCATCGAATAAGAAATTTTTCATCAATGAAACACTTTGACAGGCTTCGCTCAATCGGACGGCGAAGAGTACAGAGGGAAATATCTTGGAAAGTTGAACGCGTATCATCATCAGGTGTCCGGTGACGTTTACGTGGTGGACGAATACACGTTGCTGTTGACGTCCTTCAGCTACGACGGTAACGGAGCCGACACCTTCTTCTGGGCTGGTGCATCGAATCGACCGGGCCCTCAAGGTTTCATCGTACCCGACGAATGGGGAAAGTCTGTTCCGTTCGATAGATAACGGATTTGGTTAAAGCTGTACAAATAAAATGTGTTTTCTTTTTCAGAACAAACGTCCTAGATCGATATTTTAATAAAGACTTTACGCTCACCTTACCGGATAATAAAAAGATAACAGATATCAAATGGTTTGCTGTATACGATCTTGGAAGTCAGGTAGAATAATTTTGATAATTTACCGTATCGAATGTTAAAATATCTATACGTTACAAGCCTTTTAAATCTAGAATACGTTTGGAGACGTATACATTCCTGAAGAGTTCGATCCACCGGCTCCTCAGAAGATCTCTCAGCTAACAAAACGATCGCACGGAGTGTCTTCCGAGTCTATCGTAATCGTCGATTCTAAAACCATAAAAATACCAGAATTTAAATACGATGGAGAAGGAACAGACACCTATTTCTGGGTGGGACTTGGTCCTCAACCTTCCAGCAAAGGAACCAAAGTTCCCGACGAGTATGGATAGTAAGTAATATCGAAGTTTAAGCATCAAAGATTTACGAGTTACATCTGCAGAAATAACATTATAACACTTACCAGTTTGGATCCACTTCGTGCTTATAAAGAGGAAGACGTGATTATTCAGTTACCGGGGGATATGACTGTTTTCAATATCGACTGGCTGAGTATCTTTGACGTAAAGACCAAATCAAACTACGGCTCCGTCATCATTCCTGATGGTTTGAACGTGCCTCCTTCCTTAGTAAAAGTAATAAATTGTTTCATTCTGTAATTAGTCTATAGACAGGAGACAAACTAACATCGAATGATTATCAAAGTATAGGTGATTAAGCACGCACAGGCCTTGCCAAACTGCGTTCAACTTCATAAACGCTATCAAGTTAGCTGGGAAATTTTTGGTCCTCAAATCACTGTTCAATTAACTGGGCAGATCAGTAAGTGCAATTTAATAATAACAATATACATATATATAATGTAATATTTAATGCATATGAATGTTTCAGATGAAAATGAATACATGGCGTTTGGACTATCAGGTTCAGAGACTTCCAGCCAAATGGAAGGGGCTGATGCTGTAATTGCTTATATGGACGGTACCAGAGGATACGCCGTTGATTATAATATTACCGCCAAAGCGCCAGTACGTAAATATGTATAAGATATCAAATATATTAATTATCGATTTAAAATAACTCATCTTTTATTATGAGAACAGTGTGGAAAGGTTCTTGGTCAGTACAAAGGTGTTTGTAAGGATGAACTATTTGGTGCTCAGGACAACAATCAATTATATACAGCTGCAAGAGACGATGGAATTACAGTTATCACTTATAGGCGTACACTTAATTCTTGTAAGAAAGCATTCAAAAAAATTAAAATGGACAAAAATAAGTAAAGATCAAATACAATTGTCTTAAATTGTAGCCGATCCAGGAGATAAAGAATATCCAACAGATAGACCAGTTTATGTGGTGTGGGCTCTAGGAAGGCTAGACGAAAACAAGGAACCATATTTTCATGATATATATCCTAAAAGTGATTTGAAGTTGGAATTAGCTCGTCAAGAACCCGAGAACACGTGCATGGATTTTACAGAGACCAATGAAAAATTAATGTGAGTGACTAATTTTCCTAGAACAAAAATTTCGGATACAAGTTTTGTAATTATAAATGGTCGTTTATTAGAGAACCCTGGGAGAAGAACGAAGTATTTGACAGAAGTATTCGAACCTTTAGAGCAACCATTGGACCATCTGGAGGCAAGAAGGGCTATCAAGGAATCACAAGTTTGTTGATAATGTTATATAAGCATTTTTTTTTGTACCGATTATAAATAAAATTTCATGTTGCAGAACAAGCGTCCACAGGTCTGGCATGGTACATCGAAGGTCAATTAATTCCCGAATTGTACCTGCGTCGAGGACTAACTTATAGTTTTCGAGTTCATGGAGGAAATAATCCTCATAGTTCTAATTTGTATCATCCGCTAATTATTACTACCGAGCCACACGGCGGATATGATAGACTTAGTGACGCAGCACAGAACAGAATCAGAGTCTTAGCCGGTGTTGAGTTTACCAGAAGAGGTCAACCCAGACCAACAGCAGGTCCATATTAAAAGAATAACTAACTTTCAACGTCGATAAATAAAAATATGAAATGATTCGTCTATTCAATTCTTCCAGTTGGCCCACTTTGCCTGAGTAAGCATAACAAACGAGACAGAAGATTGGATGACGATTTTCCAACGTTCAAGCAATTTAACAGAACACTGATAAGCAGCTGTGAACCAGGAGAAGGTGGAGTTTTGGAAGTTACACCAAACTCTACGTGGCCAGACATTGTTTACTATAATTCATTCACCCATGCGAACATGGGCTGGAAAATACATGTGGTGGATGCTTACTTAAGGAACGTTGCTGTTGCTGAAAAATTGTCGTTACTCGCAGGAATGATGGCTGTGTTTTTTCATTTGTTATAAAAGTAGATACATTTTGTTGAGATCATTCGTACGATTTCCTTATATAAATATCAACTGACAAGATTTTGATTACAATTAGTACAGAATGCGAAGTTCCTACATAAACGGAAACAAATAAATCAAACAGTTATCAATATACGTTAAATTAAACAATTTTTTAATTATAAAGTACTTACATCATTTGTTTCACGCATTAGCTGTTTCATGAATATTTCACGACATTCTATTTATTTAGTTGCATTGATAATTAACCATATGCACATATAAAAGTCAAGATCTGTTAGCTATTTAAAGATATTAATGTTGTTTTGTATTATTAGTAGGTAACATTTCCATTGTATATTCAACTCAAGATTTATAAATATCATAAGACATTTCATTTTCGTGACATAAAAAAATTTGTGCTATTTCCCATAAACAAGTGGGTTTGTTACGAAAATGAAAGGCTTGTTATTTAATGCATATATGTATTTGTATATTTCGCGTTTATAGATATTATTATTCGAATGACAATTTTAATATTTCTTTTCTGCCACGAATAAATAATTGTAATAAAACATATCGAAGGTATTTTTAATAAATATAATCGCGTTATATTCTTATACTATATTTGTTCTTGCTCTTCAATTTTATGTTGATGTATATTGTAATCGTATGGCAATGCTCGAGTATGATACATCTTTGGCATTCAAATTAATAGCCATGTTCTTTTCACAGATCTTTGACATTTTGTATCCTTATTATTTATTATATATGATCTCTTTCATAAAAGGAAAGTGCAAAAGCTTATTTAATAATTCTCATTCTGTTTCTTTTCACTAAATGTTACTCTTAAAATATAATGTCAATCCATTCACACGTGATGTAATGTTAAAAGATATTCTAACTACTGATTTACGTACAAGTACATAAATCGATATCGAATTAAATAGCGAATTATAATATAGTATCCAACATAAAAACCTTATCAAAACACTTTTATTTAAACCAGTCTTTCCGAATTGGATACTTTACCATTCTCGCACCTTTTAAAATAACTGTTTTGTGTAATCGTTATTTTCTTTAAAAATATTACTTTTTTCAATAAAAATGAGATTGTATAAATTCTAACTTGTTCATACAATCATACGAAAGTATGAGAGATTTAGTTGTCGACGATACAGGAGTGTTCCTTTTCTGAAATATTTTTTTTCCTTTTAATTTGTAGGGCACTCAACGCATCCTCATATTCATTACAACTTTGAAAAAATATTATATTATGTACACGTATTTGCATTGTGAACGTTGATGCATTTCCTATAACTAAATTTAGTTCTATAAATAATAAAGGAAAGAAATATTATTAACGTAGAATTTTTTGCTGGTTATTCATTATTCTTTATGAAGTTCTAAAAACTGAAAAAGTGTATCTGGCAAATCTATACGTCTTCTACAGCGAATACCGTATTTCTGAATAGCTTGAGCCGCACAACATCTAAGACTAATATAGTTTACAAGATTCACCCTATTCGTTACATTTGAAGATATCAACCGTACTGGAGTCTCTCCTGTTCTGTTTGGCGTGTCTAAATGAGCATCATAGTCCAATAATAATTTTATTAGCTGTAAAGAAACGAGTAATAAAGTTTCTTATTCCTTATAAATAGGATATGAAAAAATCGTAAAATACATACTGCATTCTGGAAATTAAATGGCTTGCTTGCTATATGCAAAGGCGTTGACCGCCATTCGTTCCTTGCGTTGACATTTGCTCCACATTCTAAAAGTAATTTGACGACTTCTAAATGTGGGAAAATTGTCTGTAAAAAATAATCGATATTTTAAATTACACATAAGTAATATATGAATTTGTATATATATAAAATTTATTCAAGTATCAAAATAACATGAAAACTCACATGTGTGCTATCAGTAGCAAAATAAGTAGAACTGATGGTATTCATTTTTGAAACACAAAGATGCAGAAGAGTATCTTCCTTACATGCAGATCTAGGATTCTGTTTAACTAAATCATAAACTAGTTGCTTAGTTAGCGCCTTCTGATCATCCGAAGTTCCTGTTTCTACTAACAAGTAAATAAGATGCGTCACGCCTTTTAAAATTCGCTCATAATTATCCAGCTGTCGCTTATACACTGGTCGTTTCTGAAATAAAAGAATCTTGATATGTAAAGCAATTGTACACAAATATATCAATTACTTATACCGTAAATTACCTCCAACAATTCTTTGGTTTCTGTTAATTGACTGGATAGTAATTTAAATATTGCTACTACATCGCAAAACCTCGGTTCTTCCTTATCTCGATTCTCATTCGATTCGACCATAAGCCTTAGTAAAGCTTGAGCAGTGAAACATGTATCGGCGTGTAAAATCTGAAAGTATAATAATCGAGAATAAATAAAAAATATACGATCGATATATTAGAGTCGATAATGAAAAATATTAGATTACCGTATCTTTTTCCACCCGAATTTCCAGTGCTCTATGCCATAAATCTATACAATTCTGATATCTATAATAACAAGAAACGAATAAAAATTAAGAAACAAAGATATTTAATTTATGTATAATTACCTGAAGGCCTCCGCGTACGCAGCACCTCTGAACATTAATCGCAATAAAGTATCTTTGTGGTGTGGACCTAGAATTCTCTCACATATTAATAAACTTTGTATTCTCATGGCATCTAAATCAAGTGCAATTGCATTAAGTTCCTCTAATGTTGTGAATTCGGTTGCATTTTTATATATATCACGTTTAGGTAGCACAGGCCTTTTTGGTAAAGGAACACCAAATATTGCATTGTTATTTCTAATTTCTATTGCAGCGCGCCAATATTTTAATGCCCTTTGTATGTCATGATTATCGTCAAAACATGTAGATCCCATTAATTCATTTGCATCTGCTAATCTTTCAGGAGAATAAGATACCTTTTCCACTGAATTACAATAAACAATTATAATTAGTTTTAATTGTAAATGATTATGTAAAACTTTTTAATAATATGATTTGTAGTACCTAAATAGTCAAAAATTTCAATAGTCCCTTTTAAACAAGCAGTTTGAAGGGCATCATCATTATATCGAGATCTAAGATGAGGATCTGCATTATGTTCAAGAAAAAGTTTGGTAGTTTCAAGCCTGTGTTCTTGAATAGCATAATGTAAAGCAGTCTTATTTTGAATATCTGTTGCATTTACGTCAGCACCATGGTTTAAGAGAAACGTACATAACTCTACGCTTTGAACGGAATTTATTAAGCATGTTCCACCATTGTAATTGGCTTTAAGTATATCAGCACCATTTTCTACCAAATATGAAATGACATCTAAAATCAATAGAACTATTAATTTTTGTTAACCGATTTGTTTTTTATTATACTTAAAAAACATCAATTAGTGTTTCACAGTGTACTATTAACTATAAATCTATATACTTATTAACTGTAGATCTTGGCAAAAGAACCACTGACCTAGACCTACCTATAGTTTTATTTTTAATACGATATAATTTACACGTGTATACTATATTAACCTTATTGCAAAATGATTTTGCATTTAAAATTATATTAAGGCAATCACAAATTATTAAGTATTTTAAATGACTACATTACCCATGTGAGTCATGAAACAAGCTGATCTCAAAGGAGTCGAACCAGAATCTGAAACTGCATTAATGTCAGCTCCATGAGATATTAGACACTTAATTACTGAAAGTTTTCCAGAAACAGCCGCACACCATAATGGCGTTGCACAATGTACAGATTGATCGCTAGGTACTTCATATCTTCCTCTTTGTTCAATATCTGCATGACATACTGTTATAAGATATTCCACGATTTTTACGTGCCCTCTTTTACATGCAATGAACAAAGGAGCACAGCCACCTTCGACCCGAGATACAATTTCTTTTCTGACTTTTATTTTCTGCTTTTCTATCCAACTTCTTAATGCAAGCGTTAAGTGTGCTGCAGGTGCAACATATTTGCATTGTTCTATAAGATCATGGGATACTATACTCAGTTTTCTTTGAGAAGTATACATATTTAACATCTGACTTCAATAGGCTGAAAAATCATTCAATTTCTTGGTTAGTATTTTTGCTTAAATTTTAAACTAATTGAATAACTTCTTTGTCAAGTATTATTAATATAAACACAAGACGAATGAAATTAAATTTCAAATTACGTAGAAAATGAGGTTCTATTTTATGTATATGTGGTATGCTTAAATAACAAATACGATACTATAAAACAAAATAAAAATTATAATGACAAAACAATCCTATTGTAATTTTATTTCGTAATTAAAAAAATAATCAAAAGTATCGCTTAAATAATACATTACAATAATATAAATACGAAAACACAAAGAACTGTACCTAACTAAAGTTGATCATTACAGTTCACAATATGGTGATTGCATATATAGCGAAATGAACTGACATTTTCGCAATAACAACGCAATACACACAATATGTATTAAAGAGAAAGGCGTCACACTAATGATATTCGGAGAAAAAGACACTTTGCGTTTTCTCTGTAAGCACCACTTGTTATCATTTTTAAAAAATCCTGAATGAAATGCCTTTTTTAAAACGAACAACGTCTAAGAAATGGCGTAAACGAAGATTCCTAAAAATTATACAGTACAGTTCATGTGTCATGAGCTTCAGCTTGGAAAAAAGCGAACTTACTTGGGCACTAACGACGGTCACCCAACAAATAAAACAATGTGAATGCATTACTAATTTTCCGTGCATCGTAAATGACAGCTACTAGTCGATAAATCACGTGATTAGAATTCGTATCACGTGATGCGAATGCATCACGTTTTGAGTATGCGCGAGCAAAATTTGATTTGATTTCAAATCAGTGTCCAGATCAACATTTTAAAAACAAAACGGTAGTATTAAAAAGTGGCCGTACTCTTCTATTTCGATGTTAACTAATCTTAATAACGATTACGACAGCATCAATTTCCTTAAGATAAATCTAAACGCGTTACGTGACATGTGTATCGATATATGTGCCACAGCGAACACATTCTTGGTTAGAATGTATTAACTTTCTCTGAAAGTGAAATCTCTCTCAACGAGAAAGTTAATAACGTCGAAATAACATTCTGTGTATGAATGGTTAATTCGTGCATTCCCTGACACCATTTCTTACGAATAGTTATGTGCTACAGAATGCTGTAAGTGTGTTACACGTTATTTATATTAATAAAAAGAGGGTGATTTGTCTATTTGACCTATGAACATCATCGCACATCCTTCCTTTCTTCCGCTTCCTTTTAATTAAATTAAACATTTTTTTAATTTATAATTTCATAAATTTGTAAATATGTAAACTTAAATATCTGCTTCAATTTTGTATAAACGAATATTCCGTTTCGTAAGTGCATTATTATTCGCATGCTGCGCGTGTAATAAGGTCGACTTAATATTACATAGCCAAAAGCAATTTATTCTCTTTTCGTTTATCCGATCGTAATAGATAGTTGCTGTCCGATAAATAAAAAGAAAGTATTATCATGTAGATTTACGTGGAAGTGTCCGGGAGTCGAAAGTTGCTTGAACTAAAAATAAAAAAAAAAGAAAAAAGAACTGGACTGTGAGTTCCGAGAAGAGATGCCAATAAAACTCGTGGACATTCATTTCGTAGCGGACCACGGAAGCATCAGCATCTCGTTCTCCGATTCACACCACTTAAATTAATTTCATTCAAACAACGTTTCAGAACCAAGTGAGTGATTACTTGATTACATGAATGCATCATGAACGATCACACGATCTAGCTACATAGAGTTATCATAATGTTTACAGTGGATAGAAAACCTATTACTTTCATGACGATGGAGGGCGATACAGGAGAAAGATTGGATAGAATGTTCGGTGTAAAATCCAGTTTCTTGCGAGTGCAACCGGGCAACTGTTTATTACCGCCTCAATTCGTATTTTATGGGACAAGGATACGAGATATGGAAATTTACGAGGACGACGTATGGATGGTATCTTATCCACGAACTGGTAAAAAACTTTAATTTTTTAATTATATTCGAACAATTCTCTTAGATTTTTCTACGTTTCTTTTGCTTTTAATGTAGGTAGTCACTGGGCGCAGGAAATGGTATGGTGCATCGGAAACAATTTCGATTATGAGCGTGCTCAAACCTTATTGGTCATACGTAATCCGTTACTTGAGTGAGTTTCAGTATGATTTAAGTCAGGGATTCCCAAGCCTTCACGGTTCAGGATGCACTGTTAAAAGTTATAATTTTTCGCGATTGTAACATATATTTTAGAAACGTGGGAAACGGGAAGGGAGATAAACATATCGCTTTACTACTTCTAAAGCTGTATACTGTTCATGAATCGTCTAAGTAGCTTTATTCGCATAAACGATCGTAATGATTCGACTGTCGTTTTAGAGCTTCTGCATTAATGGTCTCAGGAGACTATGTGGAATGGTTCGCGAAGCTAGGTGACTCCGTCGAAAATGTTATAAAGATGCCACGAACCAGATACGTGAAAACTCATCTGCCTCTAGAATTGTTGCCACAACAAATACATCGAAAAAAGCCGAAGGTACTATGAACAGTTGCTTACGTTCATCTGTATCGCAACAATTTTTAATTCAGCGTTTTATGTAAATATTTCAGATTATCTACGTTGCTAGAAACCCAAAGGACACCTGCGTCAGTTTTTATCATTATTGCAGAAAGTTCCACAACATGAAAGGAAGCTTCAAAGAGTTCACCGAACTTTTCCTAGAAGACTGTTGTACGTAATCAACTTGTCGTCGAATGATTTACCGATTTACTGAACCGAATTGTTTTCCGTTTAGCGCCGATGGGTCCGTTCTGGAGTCACGTGTTGAAATTTTGGGAGATGAGGAACCAGGATAACGTGTTGTTCTTAACGTACGAAGAAATGAAGAAGGTAAAGCAGGAACCTATTCGTACAACAGTGACGATGTAGTTTAATCTGTGACCTGAAAAAAATGATATTTACTTTCCCAGAATCAAGTGGAAGCGATCAAGAAGACGGCGAAATTTTTAGGGAAGAGCGTGACGGACGAACAAGTAGCGGGACTTAGTGAACATTTGAAATTTTCGAAGATGGCAGCGAATCCTGCTATAAACTTAGAGTCCATATTACCGCAAAAAGGTGTACCCGAGGATGACAAATTTATAAGAAAGGGTAAAGTTGGTGATTGGAGGAATTACATGTCGGAGGAAGTGTCTAAAAGGTTCGATGAATGGACTGAAAAACATTTACGCGGAAGTGACCTCGAGTTCGATAAGGAAGTAATCTCGTACGAAGAGGAATGAAAATAGTCCACTGAAATTTTTAGAATCAGAGTGCCTTCTCACGAGATACCATGTAAAATAATTGTATCTCATTTAAATGTACATATATGTATGTTTTCACTTAAATGTGCGCGCGTTTATACTCGTACCCATTTGAATTTATCTTCGTTGAAGAAATACATTGGAAACATTAAAGTGTATGCGTGTGTGTGTGTGTTTGCGTGCGTGTGTGCGTGTGGGTATGTGTATACATATACATATATATATATACATTAACAATTGTAAGGTTTAGTACCATTTAGTTGACTAATTATAATTATTGATGGACACATTTACACCTAATGAGAGAGACCGGTTTTCTATTAAAGGACATTTCTAATTTTCTAGACATGAATGGATTTATAATTTGACGCGGTTTTAACACGGAGACGGAAGAACGAGAGAATAGCGGATTTTCAATCGAACAAAGTGTTGACTCGTTTAATTTACCTGAAAGAACTTGCGTGATGTGAATTTTATTCGAGAATCGCGCCCGAGTTTTTGTCGATCCTCAACGTACGACGTCGAATGTCAAAGCAAAGATGGCGTTGATTCCTGTTGTGTCAGGTGTTTAAAGTTTCCTTTAAATTTGTTCGAAACCTGACATTCCACACGGTTGCGATACTTCGATTTCTCATTTACGTCATTCTTAACCCTGTCGAAGATCGTTAACTGAAAAGAAACGTGGAGGCGTCTGTCAAGAATCACGTGTTATATCGGCCGCTAGTGGTATCTTACACTTAACCTCAGCATTCATCGAATACTGTACGATCATTTCGGAATTTGGCAAAAATTTCAAGCAGTTCGCGTCAATGTTGCTTCTCCTGCCAAAAAAGAGACTAAAAGTTTACATCGATTAATGAGGGGAAGATATCAACGGTGATTGTTAATGTTATACAATAAAAGAAAAGTTTGAAAGGTTTTCTTAAACCTCGAATTTCGGTTTCACGCTTTAAAGTTTTGTTTACAAGGCAGTGTATCGTTCCTGAGTTGTCAAACATATTTATTTGAATGCTGATTAAATTTACACCCGGGTGAAATGCCTAAAATAAAAACCAGGCAAGCAAATAGCCTTTGGTTAAGGCAACGTGAACTGGGTATAAGATTTCCTCTGGGACATGCAGATTGTTTTCATAGAACCCTTTATTCTTCCATACAACCTGTAACTTCTTGGGATCATGCATTGTCTGATGCCGCTCATGGTGGGGTCTTCAACCTTGAATATTCTCCAGATGGGTTAGTATGCATTATATATTCTTTGGATTTGATTTAAATATTATATTTGTCATAAACACTTAAGTATCCGTTGGTTCACAGTTCTTTACTATTGGCAGCATGCGAGAAGAAAAGTATTCTTATGTTCGATCCTTTGAGTAGGAGATTAATTCACGCGATTGATAACGCTCATGACGATTGTGTCAATTGTGTTAGGTACGTAAGAATCATTTTTTAATAGATGATAGTAATACTCGTAATATTTAATTCTGATTTTCCTTCGTAACAGGTTCTTAGATCAACGTATGTTTGCAACATGTTCAGATGACAGTACAGTAGCTCTTTGGGATGCTAGAAATTTAAAACAAAGGATAAAAACATTGCAGGGTCATTCGAATTGGGTTAAAAATATAGAGTATAGTCCCAAAGATAGTTTACTGTTAACCAGTGGATTTGACGGTAGCATATATACTTGGGATATCAATAGTTTTACAGAAAATAATATTCTACATACTCGTGTATTTCATACAAATGGACTGATGCGTACTAGACTTAGTCCAGATGCCAGTAAGATGTTAATAAGTACCACCTCCGGATACCTCATCATCATACATAATCTTAAGTTAAGCACGTTAACTCAAGATTTGGCAGGATTTAGAGTATGTTTTGTTTTCGAATCGATTAGTTTTTCTGGTACATTCAATAACACATTATCCGAACAATAATTTTTCATTTCAGCCAAACATGTACCGATTAATGCAGTCATCTCAAACAACAATACCAAACGTGGCGAGCTTCACGCATCTCTTTTCCCATTCTCGTACGCATAATAGAGTAGAATTTTTAACCGATTTCCCCGCTGGGGACGATGCAGAAATAATATCTAGTTTGCAAGTGCATCCTCAAGGGTGGTGTGTCTTGTCTAGGAATGTCAGTACCTCAGAGAGATCCGAGGTTGACTATATTCTCACAAGAATAAATTCAGCTACGTGATTACAGTTATTTTACAATGCATCCTCGTTTCTGTTACAGTGGACTTGTGTTCACGACATACAAGAGCGTGACGTATCCTGCGCAACAGACCAGAGTAGGGAAGAAGAAGAAACCACGTCTCAATTTAACGAAGTACCCGTAGAAGAATTCGAAGACTTTCCGCAACCGCAATCCTCTCGTTCAGGTATAACATCATCGTTTTTAATCGAAAGCCCGAACAATCGTGTCAGAGTAGTTCACACTACGTCCGACACGAGATCGAATTCGGTCGGATCCTCGGACAACGCGCAGTCGGTTCGGTTATCGAGGAACAATTGGCAACCGACGTTTCGTCGGGCATCTCGATTGCAATTGAGAAACTTGCGTTTGGACAGATACGCGTCCCGAACAAATTTTAATACGGTAGAAGCTGGATCAGGTTCAGGTGCAAGTTCAGACTCACGAGTAAGTGCAGACCGAGACAACAGGCAGGAGAACAGGTACATGTACGGAGCAGACAATAACGAGAGTATGCAAGAGGATGCTTCCAGCGATCAGGACAGAGATTCGAGTTTGTATTACTGGCTACCAAGACCGAATTCTCACCTGAACTACCTGCGACCACGTAACATGATAGACGACTTTTCTACCGGTAATATAGAACTACATGTAAGTACAACCGACGTGTGGGAAGCGCACGTGGCAGTTAGGGAAGCCAGACTCAGAAGAGAGAGACATCGAGATGCCAGATCGAACAACAACGCCGTGGTGATCATAAGCGATCGGATCAGAGTTCAGAATCGAAATAGACAAGGTCAACGGACGATGTTCGCCATTCCCAGAAATCGTATGATCCATCAGAATACTCCTAGGTTAACGCATTACATCGAGGAGCCTAACGTTGGCTCCGGTTACATCAAAGAACTTTGTTTTTCTGCCGATGGCCGACTGATATGTTCACCTTTTGGATACGGCGTACGATTGTTATCATTCTCTAGCGACTGTTCAGAACTGTCCAACTGTGTTCCACCGTTTAACGAGTCTGTACAGTTGCACGAGTTGGCGGCCAACATTAGTCACACTGGCATCGTAGTCAGTACAAAGTTTTCCCCTAGGCATTGTTTGCTCGTGTCGGGTTGCCTGGGTGGAACGATCGTTTGGCATCAACCGGTGGTTTAGTGAAATCTATTACAAATCTTTTAGCAAATTATTACTTTTTTCTAAAGGAATGTCTCGAGAAGACATATGCAACTTGCCGTTTTCTTTTCCGTTGTCTTTTGTTTTTACTTCTTTACTCTTTCTTTTACATTACCTCGATAGTCTTACAAATTTTTTTGAGTATATACTTTTTGATAAAGCTTACCTTTTTTTAACGTGTCTTAGGTTCAAGGTATAATTTATTAAGAATCATTGTTATTTTCCTTTAACGTTAAACATTTTTTTTATCGAAGCATCATGAACAATGAAACGCGAAAGGTATTTTATACGGAATTAGTTTTCGGAAATAATTTAAACAAGGAAAGAATTACGATGATATTTTAAGTATCATTTCGGACAAGAAATTATTCAATAAGTTGTACGTTCGAGCAATTTCGATCAATAGTATTTTTGTTCTTAACGATACAGACATAGATTCATACAAATAGCAAATCGTTGCAGTAATAATTTCACGGCCAGAGTACTTTCTTCCCTATTTTATCAACGTGGAACACGCGTCGAAACAAGGAGTTCGAATCGTACATCTCAGAAACATTCCTGCTTACTTTCAGTTGTACATATTCTCGTAACACAGCGATTTGCATTTGTAACAAAAATTCAGATCAGAAACAATTACGCGCGTGTAGTTGTTTATTCTTCGTTGAAACTCGATTGGTGCAATGTTACGTTTTTAGTCGGTTCGATTTTGTAACGTCTTGTACATTGTCTGGCAACGATCGAAAGAGCGGTTCAAGTTTTCTCTTTAACACTCGAAAACGAAAAGACAAAAGCGATGCAATAACACGCGAACAGAAACTCTTTGCTTCTCTGTATTATTTGCGAAAGTTGTCTGCTAGACTGTAAAAAGGAAGGAAGGTATAAACTTTGCAGCATGAAATTATCGTGCAAAGAGATTAACCTCGCTGAAGAACGTGTCTTTTGGCGTTATCGTTAGTATTCAATTAATTAGCCGCGTAACTAGTTATTAAGTAGAGTAGATTTTCGTTATATTGTCGTAGATGGCCATAGAACGCGTAGCGATATGAAACGTGGATACCTACGGTGGCGTAGGAGTTCGGGTAAAGGTGGCAATATAACGAGAGTCTTACTGTTCTCTGAAATTTTGACTGATCAGGTACCAAATTTGTATTGTTGGTTCATGGAACAAGGCCTTTTAACGATTCTTATCGAATTATCGGCGCGTTTCGTCGAGCAAGTTATTGTATCTTAATGCTTACTGGACTGCGACTATGTCAAGTTCGTTGCCATAAATTAACATTATGAGCTACTTAGGAAGCACGAAACGCGTTGAAAGTAACTAGAATTGAAAGTTAAAGTCGTGTAATCATAAGCATTAACGAGTAATCGAATTCTCGTTGTTATCAATTTGAAATACCAAGTTAATATCGAACCACGACAGGATAATAATTCTTTGAAAGCATGAAAATCGGTAACAAACGAATTATGTACGAAATTTTAGCGACTGTTTTGCGACTATTATAAGCGATCGTAAGTTTTAGAGACGTTCTTCGACAAGGAGCATTCTGTGATCGTGGAATTCGTATGTTTCATGATACACCTTACATTTGAACTCGTCGACTGGAATTTGTATCGTTGAATAGAGGAGAAGTTGTGTAATATATGTAAATACATCGTCGACTTAGAATATGTATAATGGTGTATGTAATAATGCGTGTATTACTTTTTAAGACGAAATCGAGTCAAATCGTGGCCAAAAAGGAGCGGCCAATATTCGTGTGGAGTTTGTTGATTTTTTGAGAAAAAAAACTTGATTCCACGCTTTTGGAATCTAGATAGTTTGATAATGTATTTTTTTTTTCGAACGAATCATAGACTTTCTAATCGGAATATTTTGTAATGGTCCGTCGAAGAATGTTATCAGACAGTTAACGAAACATCTAAATTGTAAATGCGAATATAATTGATCGATGACATTTGCTTCGAAACGTTCGATTAACAAAAATTTTTAACGACAGGTGGACTATTGGTACAGCTGTCGATTCGTAAGCGGTTACCTTTTTCACTTTTATCCGAGAAAGGCGTGAATGTTCAGGGACAACAGCGTACCCTTGATTACCGTGTTCCAATCGACAAACGTGATCGAACCCATTAGCTGAACCGGTTGATCGTCGCTCGTAACGTTCTTCTATTATAATTATACGATTGTGTACAGTAGTTAGTGTGCTGATTTGTTTGTAAGATTTCTTTGTTTTTTCTTTTTTTTCTATACAATAAACTATTGCTTAACGTCTAACGTTGCACTTTCTTATAATCGTTATCCATCGCGTGTTCTCATGAGCGCGACAGTTTTTTTTAATATTTCGATACTTAAATAAAATAAACGAATAGAAAATATTCGTTTTGAATCTTTCAAGAAGAATGGAACGCTGATGATTGCAACTAACCGCTTGATAAAGTTGTAAGAAGCCGTCATCGTTGAGTCATAAAGGAATTCCTTTCCTGTTGATTACAAATTACTCACAAATTGTTTTGCTATTTTAGTCCAACATGACGCTGACATTATACTTCCTTTTCCGTTTCTCAACTTTTCTATTTCTTACGGTTCGTTGCAGAGACAACAATGGCAAGAAAAATAAAGGGAGGAACATTGTATCCATTACACAATTTATTAACAATCAACTTATGTACAGGTATATACTAGAGCACAACGAAGTTGTAGCACGTAGAACGATAAGATTCTTCTTTCATGCACCTCGAGACTTAAAACTTAGAAAAAAAAGACTTGTAACAAAGGTATATTATACTCTTACAGAGCTGGAGATCCGATGAGCGCAAATGACACAAATTTGTCTTTTATCCAATACTATTGCTCGTCTTGGAAGCTTCTTTCTCGTATGATAAAAGGGCAAATAATTCGTGAATAAATAACTGAATAAATAAGTAAATCATGGATCAATATTTTGTGGTTAGTTATATTCCTCTCCCGGGTTATCGCGTCGATTACATTGTCTATTAATCCACAAAGTCACGTACATTTTGCGTTAAAACGTGGCAAATGTGATTAACCTGTTAACCTGGATTCAACTGAAAGACATATAAAATCTAATAATGCAAATCCTGAAAGATTCCTGCCTTTAGCGATGTTATTACGCTTATATCGGAAGATAAAGTCCTGTATTATTCATGAATCGTTTACAACATAAATTATTGTTACACGCGCAAGGGGCAAATCAATTTTTGCTGTTTAATACGTTGGTCGCCACGATGCACAGTGGATCAGAATTCCAAATACAAGCGATGATGGACGAGTTTAATTTAGCAAATAATTAAAAAAAGTATGGAAGTTGGACAGTTCTGAATGCTATTAAGAGTACGCCAATAATTTTGAAATGTTCGATATCTTTAATGATTAATACTGAATAGATACGACTACGTCTACCGCGACGGCCAACGTGTTAAAAGAAAACACCCAGTTAACAGGTTAAGAAAAAAAAGAAATAATTCCTCGCAGAAGCTTCTGAAAACTGCTGTCCAGAACTAGCATCCTTTACATCTGTCCCCGATAAATGCCAGATCTTGAGGCTTTCACTGTTCGACATTTCGGAGTTATAGCTATTGGAGTTGTCGAGACGTGAACGGTATTCTAAAGAACGAATATTCCAAAACAACTGTTGACGAAACTAATTACAGTGGCAAAAAAGGTTTTTCGGAACAACATTCACAATCGCAAAATCTCTAACATCGATAACTCCGAATGTTAAATCGTTGAATCTTCTTAACAATGTTACACACCTGGTAGCCAATTTGTTCAAATAATATGGTAGAAGACAAAAGTCAGAAAGATGTATCCTAAATTAGCCATGAGCGTTTGGCCAGCATTAACGAGCAGAGAACTCGAATTATCGCGATGATCGTGATGATCGTGGTAATCGTGATGATTCGTTTCGGAGCTGTTCATCGCGTGCACATGTCCCTCGTGCGGAGATCTCTTCGACCTCGTCACGAGCATTAATTTCGTGTTCTTTGTCGGCGTTGTTTCAGATAGCGACGAGTCCGCGAACGATGGACGACGTTTATCGAGCCGAGAACGAGACTCTTCAGGGATCAGAGGCGGTAGTTCCCCTTTGAATCTCCCGAATTGCGGGGTTCTACTGAGCACATCCGAGGATAACGTGCTTCTGGAATGCTCTTCGATCCCGGAAATCGACCTGGCCAAGCCACGGTCTTTCAGTCTCTTTCCGTCGAACGTGATCAATACCTCTGACGAGGACGAAGACGGTGATTCGTTGGATATCGTGCTGGGAACCGGAGGCAGGTAATAAGCGTTCATCCTGTCAGCAGCCATTTCCATGTCCTCGAACTCGCTCGGACGAGGTTTCGCGATTTTCTTCTTCGATCTTTTTACCGTGTTCACGGTCGGCACGGGTGGCGAAGGTATGAAAACTGGTTCAAAATTGTCGACAGGTCTATGATTCAAAGTTTCTCGGACATCGTCTTCCGTTTTGTCGGAAGATCTCTTTTCAGCCACGTCCGCCGGTTGCTCCAAATTTCTGATGATCGGCTTGAAACCATTCTCGATCACTATGGAACCTGGATCGAAGCCCGTGTTCCTGGCTGGTTTCATAGGAGTAGAGAAGACGTTGGCGTTGGGCAAGTTCGCGTCGGAAACTTTAGCCTCTAGCTTGCTCCACTGTTTCGGGTCAACTTTCTTCAGCTTCGAGACCTGAAAATTGCCATTCGCCGAAGACGCTTTCTCTTGGTTTCTTCTGAACACGGAGGTGGCTGGCGCGTAGACGGACTTTTTTCGTTCCAGAAAGATCGGCCTGGGCATATTTGGCTGCGGCATCGAGTGAGCGGTCTGCAACATCGGTCGACGACTCATCATCGGTCTCTTGATCATCATCAGTTGAGTCCTCTGTTCTGGCTGATAGCGATTGTAATGGTGGTGAGGTGGCAGGTGATAAAGGTGGTGGTAATTGGTCGCGTAATGGTGATACAACGGCCTGCTAGGGTATTGGATCTGCGCATTGCTGGCAACCGGATAAGCGTATTTCGTCCCGGGGCTCAGTGGTCGTGGGTTATCTGCAACGAGGTTAGACAATTGCTGGTTAGAGGCTTGGTGAACGAAGTCCGGTTCGATCTCCATGATTTGATGATGTCTGCCAGGATGGGGGGAGATTGGTCTACTGGTTCCGATCGATTGCTCGTGATAGATCGGCGCTAGCTGATGATGGTGATGAAGATGATTGTAGCGATGGTAGTTCGGATGATGATGCTGTTGTTGCTGCATCGGGTCTTCCTCGAGGTGCACGTGATGCATGTCCTTCACGCGTACCTCGTGACTATGCGGCAGAAGGCTGACACCGGGCGTGCTGTACGAAGAAGAAGCACTCGAACCGAACGGCTCCTCGTACTGCGGCGATGATTGCAAGCGGACGTAATTGTTGTTATGAGCGGTCGTTAGTAGTTGCATGTATGGTGTGCTTAGCTTGCCGGGGTTAGTCGTTGGATGATAAGGAATACGAAGCCCATGTTCACCGTAGGGTTGATGAAGATGTTGCTGAAGAAACTCCGCCGTTGGCGTTACCTTGCTCGGGACACGGATGCTGGGGCTGTGCTCGAGATCCGCATTGATCCTCGGTCGTTGATTTTCCGGCGCCGCGTAAACCTCGTGCTGCTCGCTGGCAGCCGCAGCGGCTTCGCAGCTGTCGTGAACGTTGATCTTCCAGCCCAGGTAACGGTGTGTGAAACACTGAATGTTCGTGAACAATCAGGTAACCACGTTACTCGTGTTGCCTTTACAAATTTCAACATTCACTTACCTGATAGTACACGGTGTCCGGTGTGTTCTCGTCGGGAGTCCACGTCACGATACCTGGTTCACCAGGGTCGCATTCCAGAGTCAACGTACGTTGGTAAGCACCGAACGTCGCGAATTCGTCGGCGGGGGGTTGACTTTGGTCCGGTACCCAGTTGCACAAACGACCTACACCCGTTGGTCGATACACACCGCGCTGACGTTGTGCACCCGCGAATATTTTTACCTTCTACTCGTACATGAAACAACGATATTATTTAGACAGCCGCGTTCAAAGACAGCGAAAGCGGTTCGACTTACGGCTTTCTCTTCAGGCGTTTTGTGTTGGTATCCACCGACAGGGTCGTCGGTAATATAGAAGGGATGATAACGAGCAGGTGTATCAGGATTCTCGCCGCCTTCCACCACGAAAGTATACTTTGTTCCGCGTACAACGTTGATCTCGGGAATCAGTAGGCCATTTATGTACCACGAGATACCCCAACCGACGTGACCTAGGGAAATCATAGAACTTAATCAGTTCACGTCGCATCGTTTTCGCCAACTTTTCGTCGAGCCAATCATCGTACCAGTGATCGCGGGATAGCCGTGTTTTCCTCCGGTTGGTCCCATTTGCGCGTAAAGCACACCGTCCTCGGGTTCGTAGCATTGAATAGGTGGAATCTCCCATGCATCTTTTTTAGGTGCCGGTGCTGGTGTAGCTGGTGCACGCGGCGGTCTTTTTGTAGTCACTTCTACTAGCTGTTTCGAACATTCGTGTTAATAGATGTTTGCGTTACGATAGCGGTCAATATTTTCTGTAACGCAAAGAATATCTTGTCACCTGATTTCCGCTGCCTTTATCCTCGTTATCCACGAGCGTTTGCGAGTGCTCTGGAATGGGACAATTCCAAACCGGTGGTCGACCAAAGTCGATGAAGCGGTCGGTTTTCAAATAGTCCGAGTGAAAGCTGACCTCTAGCCTCTCGTTCAGAGGACCGATGGCCCAGATGATCGCTTGCGAGTCGTTTGTCAGGATTTGATGGTCCAGCTCGTCGTTCGTCTTCAGTAGCCTCTGATACGTGACAATACTATATCCGTCCACCAGGGCTGCGTTCAACAATCGGATGGAATTCGTGTTCTCCTGCAAAGCGGCGTTTCAACAGGGTAAATCGAATGCAAAGCGTTCGCAGATAGAACATTGTCATCTGTTTGACACGTTAACTATTATATGTATACATGTCCCACATTTCGTTATTTCCGTTACTCGTGGAAGTATGTCATGTTCTTGATAATGCGATACTATTTGTAACACGCGACGAATTCGTATATAACTTTTTCGATCCCCAAAGCGTGTATATAATACGAAGAATTCTAACTTGTATGCGTGTGTCGGGACAGCTACCCTGTCCACCGGAACATTGGGATTTGGCGTCCAGGAAATAATCGACGGCGTATCCTTGAAGTGTTTGCTTATCGACCCAGGCGACTACCGCGTCTCCGCCAACCATCAAACTTCTTTTAGGATCCGCAGACAGTCCGAATGCCATGTACTGTCCATCCTCTGTTGACAGGATATGGGATTACATCGTTACAAAGTTTCGTCATATCTCGAAGAATACTCGTTCGAAGATTACGTCGCGAAGGATCCTCGTCCGATCGATTTTCTCGGAAATTACCTGGAAGACCAACGACTTCCCGCGTGTCGGTCCTTTCGTCGCAACGGGTATCGTACGCTCCAGTTACCAGTTTTTTCATTTTTCTCTCGATACATTATCGTTTTCGAGCGGTGAACGATAGCGGAGTGTATCGTGGTAACCGATAGATGATTACGAAACGCGTTTAAAGGGACGCGCGCTAATTTCGGTGGGTCGTTCACGCGAAATTTATTTTCCACGTCACACGGACAATCGGTTCGGTAGGGTGGCCCCTAATTCATCGAGCTGTCCGTGTAAAGCGCGATCACGCGGTAATTAGACCGTGAAATGCGATTTTTCGTGCTACCTTTTCCGCAAGAACGATTACATCTGTCGAAGGGTGCAAATAGGGCGCGCGATTGTTTTCTGTGTCCTTTTCGCAGGAACAACCTTCCGCAAAAAGGTGAATATTTTAGTTTAGGAACAACGAACATTAACGAGGCGGGGTGCCTCTAATGAAAAATTGGGCTGTATTTTCCGATTCGTCGACGCAGCAGCGCGTTGTTTTCAATAAACGCGACAGAAGTTTCGCGCTTTCGCGAGGCGAGCTCGCGGCGGACAGCTCGGGAACGTGTTACTCACCAAGTTTTCCAACGAGTTGGGCGACTATGCTGTCTCCGGCCACGGCCCATCGCACCTCGAAAGCCAGCTTGTCCTCCAGAACTTCACAGTTCAGTTTTGACTGAAATCAAACGACACACCGTTTACCATCGTTCACAACAGCAACATTGATTCCCCCCGATCGATCGGGCACGCATCGTGAACCTCAACGATCTCTCCGTAGTTTGGACAGTTTCTTTCGAGGACTATGTCAGATCGCAATAAGACAAAAGACTCGTGTTTCAAAGAAAATAAAATATCCTTTATTTTGTATCAATCTCAGGTAAAAACAGTACAAAAATCGATAGAAAAATAATGTATCGGTGCGTGTATATATATATATGTATATATATACAATTATCTACGTTGATATATCATATATACGTATATTGGAAGCTGATGTACTTAGAAGGAAGAACCGGCCCAGGCTGGAAGGGAATCCTTCAGCTTTATTTCCAAGCGACAAGTCCCTCGTCTCTTTCTGGCCACGAAACTAGTAATTAACCCTCTTATCACAGTCAAAAACATCGCTTTTCCATTCTTTACGCTTGATTTTACGAAACTAATACTTCTTCAGCTTCTTCCTCTTCGTTCGATCGTTGCTTCGCATTTACGCCTGAAATCAGCGCTACGGTAAAGCTAAGACCACGACGAATACGCTTACAATCGCATGATAATTCGCTAGCAAACGTTGTTCGATTGTTCGCAAACACGATTCGAAACGCGGTTATCGCGTCCACTTCGACACTCGGATTAAACGTGTACTATAAGTTATATGACAAGGTACATTGCTATTAGGTTATTGCGTATAAAATGGTCAATTTTTGAAACAAAAATATGGTCGGAAGGTATTTCGTACTTGACTCGAAACGACTATTCTTTTCAATGAACGTGCATGTCTTTTAACGAAGCAGTCTCTACCGAAAGTTTGTTAATTAAATTCGGCATTTCATCTGCAATAACCTGTTACTAATGTTAATACTATTCAATACTTTTTCCGTAAAATTTGCCCGTACGCTCCAGGAACATATTTTTATAGGCATCGTCATTATCAACAAACAAATTTAAACTGCAGCATCGAATAAAATGAAATTTTTTCCGTCTGTTGTACGGTCCTTCAAACTACAAACAGCAATACAGGCGCGAGTATTAAATTCGGTAAAAAATTGAAAATTAGCCTCTTATAACTGGTCCAAGAGTCGTAACGACCGATTATTTAGTTGGTCCCTCGTTTTATACGCACGTGTGTACGTATATTCTCGTTAGAGCCCGAAGCAGATGATCCAGGAGACAAAAACCGATACCGAAGTGTCGCTAATATCGACACATATTTCACGAGGATTCGTAGAGACAGGCAAACCGTGAATTATGGCGACTCGTATTGTTCGTTGAGAACGCGATGCATCCGCTTGTACGGGATGGGCGAGATTGTATGTCTCTTAGAATAGAATTCTAGAGGGGATTGGAGAGATTAAAGGCGTGCCTGGTAGGTATGTGTCCGTAGGACGGTCTGCGCCTGCATAGATTGCGTCTACTTACACCGTGGATCCTCTATGTATACGTTATATAAGGTGAATTTACTTTGAACCGACGAGCTGCGTTTCGAAACTAAACTACATCGTTCTTCTTCAACATCGTGGAAAGCAGAGTGGTAAACGGTTAGATTTATGCTCCTTTTCGAACGATACGATTCCACTAGCCTCGACGAACTACAAATATACAATTACTCGGAGGAAGACTTCTGTTATCCAAGTGTCTTGGATAGTTTTAAACTTATACTTTTTTAGGAAAATTATCGTAGTTATAGTTGGATGCTGACAGAATCATTCGCGACTGGAGTACGTAGGACATTAAACTTCTATCTAAAAGTTTTGCTAATCACGCTTCGGCGTTCGTATAATTATTTTTATCGCGTGCAAAGTCGATTCCACATTGTGCAACAGGCTCCTAACGGCAAGCTATAGGCTTCGTTTGCGCGTCTATGTGCACGTATAATTGTGGGCGTAAAGCGTTGCTCAGAGATTCTTCGTCTAATAAATGGCCGACGCGTGGCGTTAAATAAATAAAAGGAAAGCCAGAGTGTTCGTCTAGCGTTCGTGTCCTAGCTGGCAAACTTTCCAAAGTGGCTGTGCTTGGCTAACCATAGAACTTTACGTATGAAGCTAATATTATCGCAGCTGTGCCACCTGTGTTTGCCACCTTAGAATCATCCTTGGTATACGCGATGATAAGTTCGAGTAACTTTTACGAATTCTTCGAGATACAAGTTTCGCTTCGATTTGAAAAATGGCAAATCCCATTTGTTTGTTTGTCAATGAAAAATGGAGAGATATTTTAGACGATGATAAAGAAACGGAGACGTAAAATTTGTTCGACAACGCGAGACACCCCGAAAAAAGTTGTCTGAACGGGTTTGCGGTATTCGTTGGATATCGATCGAATACTATTGTGGTTTATATTTGGACAGTTGCGAATCATCGCGTACCAAAGATGTCTATTCGAACATTTTCCCTAAGAGCCTCGAAACTAGCAATGTGTTCGATCGTTTGTCAAGTTTCCTGTCAGGGGTTGCGAGCGGATTAATACCGAACGGAGGAATCTAGCCGTCTGTCGCCTTGGAATCGCAAGAGCCTCGCGTACGAGTTGGCTCGCGGTTCACCGGTAAGTTGACCGCGCGATCTCAATCGTTCCGGTGGCAGGTCGAAACCACCGTTTCCAAATTGTTCCTGATACGTGGCCGGGTCGTCTAGATTCGACGCGTCGTCGCCGTATTGCACGATCGCGGCCGATCTTCCAGTTTGCGTCGGATAAGAGGCAGGTTCGAGATGGCGAAGCTGCTGCGCGAGAGGTTCCTGGGACTGCAGGTTCTTTGGTATTCGATAGTCGATCGCTCGGATCACTTGGACTTGATCTTCGCGGTGGAGGTTCGGTCGGTAAGTTGTCGGACGTTGGTATTGCTGCTGTGTCAGCAACGCGCTCGCGAAGGAAGGAGAAGGAGACGATGACGGCGACGACGATGACGAAGCAGACAGCTCGTACGGATTTACCAGACCGAGCGTCTGTCCCTGCCCTCCGCGATGCACGTTCTGCAACACAAGGACAGAGACAGGGTGTTATGCATACGTCATTGGAACAAGCTGGATTCTCCAACTTTTTCTTACAAGTCTACAGTCTCGATGGATTAGTTACTCGTGTAATGGGCAAAAACTTTCTTATTTATGCGTTGGAAAGTCTGGTTTTTTCTCGGACAACACGGTACGCGAGGCTCTTCGAACTTTTCAATAGTTCAGGAGGATAAATAATTCTGACATTATTCGTGTTCGTAGCTTTATCTTGTTCGCTAGGCATATAAATACGTAAATAGTTAACAGATCGTGGAAAATAGAGACTGCGGTACCAGGAATCGATGAGAAATATGGTTAGAGCAGCTCCGGAAATCAAACCTTACTCTATGTCGATCGTAATTTTGTTTCATCCGGTTAACGTGCCAAGGTTAGATACAAGGGACATGCACTCTATCTGTATAAATAGGAATTCGCGAGAAATGGAAACTCCGATCGATTATCTTGTACCACGACACAACTAAAAATCTTAAACAACTTTCTCTCTTGTCTCCCAAATTATAGAGACTACGATACCCAAAGCTTTTCTAACGTCGAGTATCAAAGCAGAAAAGAGGTCACGAGTCGCCTCGTTGAAGAAGAACACGTTCGCTAGGCAAAATCGTCGAACATATTGTCGACCGAACGACGTCCGCTGACAACTAGGTATCCACTCAAATATTGACAGAGACAAATTCGCCGTCGAACAATACCGGAGTCTGTATTGACTGTCCCCGTGAAAGGTTCGTTTGTTTCTACACGTTCGAATGTACAGACATACAAAACAGCTTCTGTTCCAAGGACGATATTACAGTTTACTGCTTCCATCGAATTTTCTGAAGAAAAAATAATCACCGGTATTGAAATTACCGATAATTTTGTTCTAGGTAAACCGTTTCGAAGCGCGTATGCGCGAGACGACGAGCACAATTATCAAACTTCGGCAACGTAATCGCCTCGTCAAACGTCGACGGAAGATGAAAGTACAGGGTAGTTGGTTCCGGCCCAAGGAAACTTACGGGACGTGACGCAGGGCATTGACTTGGCTAAAGACGATGCGTCGTAAATTGAGGAACGGTTAAAAGCTTGCACGAATATTTCTGTCGGTTAAAACGTGATTCTGCAAATACGGTAATTTTGTAATTCCTGAAACGCGTGTTTCGAGACAAGTACGTACCTTGCGAGGTATTTCTAACTATGGTCTTCCGCGTTTCTAATATTTATGTGTTATTAATGTCACGTGGCGTATTACTATTTCTTCCGCACTAATTAACGCGTTAATCGGATCGCAACTAGATTTCGTCGTTGGAGCTCATCGGAGCTAGCAAAGGGACTATCGTGTTTATAAAGCAGCGAGATCGGTGACTGGAGGATAGCTTACCTGCGGCGAGACTCCGAGCATCTTTAGGGATGGTGGCACGTTAAGACTCTGCGGAATTTGTACGTGGCCGAAGTCGACGGTGAACGCCTCGCACCAGACGCCAAAATGGCCGATCTGATGGATCGTTAGATCCGAGGGCAACGTCAGCACGATAGTCTTGCGATCGTATCGACGGAGAGGTACCACCTTTCCGTTCTCGTCGGGAATACGGATACCTTGAGGCGACGGTGTTGGTCCGGCTCCCACCCAAAATTTCGCGTCTGTAAATTCGGACGATCGAAAGAAAATTTATTCGTGCAGAAACGACAGGAAATTCTTTCCAGATGATTTTGAGAACTTACCCGGTGCTTCGCCATCGTAACTAAAGTTCGGTATCAAGAGCGTTTGGGCGTCCACCACGACGATCGGTTCTGAACTGACTCCGTGCACTCCGCTGAGAGCTGCCAATTTTTGAGGTTTTGGGTAATCGAATCCTCGCGGTATCCTGACGTCTCCGAAGTTCACCTAGAAATCATCGGAACATCGATCGCTGGTCGCGTATCAGGAGAATAAGAAAAGAGAGACAAATAAAAGCATCGACGAATGAACGCAAAGTTTCGTACGACCGTGACTTCCATAGAGCCGTAACTTTTAACGATGCCAGCATTGCCTGTTCAACGGATAGTTCTCGAGCTCGTAATCGGATTTTCAATTTCTCTTTTCTTTTTTCTTTCATTCGAAAAGTTTCGTAAGAGGTAGTCGGGTCCAATTTGTCGGGACATTCGGTGTTGGTATGGCATAGAGCCAGCCGACGCGATTACTTTCTATCTGTTGGCGGGTTCGGGAGCACGCGCGTCGTACAAACCGCGAGCGTGAAAGTTGCGCGGCAAGGAACCGATACCGGTTTCTGTATCGTGATAGAGGAATCGAAACAACGTCGACGTCGAAGGTCACGAGCATAATACGTTTACTGCTTACGGCGTATTCGTCGCACCATACGGCGAACCATTTGATGTTGTTCAGAGTTTTTCCGTCCGGAAGCGTCAGGGTGATGCTCTTCCTCCGGTACCGCCTCAGCGTTTCCGTTCTGTTGCGAATCGAACAAATTTTTTGTTAACCAGGATGCACTACGGAGTCGCCTTCTTAAATTACGATGGAAACGGAATGTTCATTGCGTTCTACAGTCTTACGTATCCGGTTAATACAGCTGTACCGGTGGTAGTTAGCGGTATGCGACTTTAACAGCTTAAGGTTTCTAAGGTATCTGGGTCAGGTTATCCCGTGACGCGAACAAAATACAAGGAAGGCACACTTACGATCCACGCTCGTCCCGAAGCCTGATTCCATTACCGTTGGGACTCTTGGTATTGCCGACGTAGAAATAGGCAGCTGAAACGAGGTAATTGTAATTGCAGACTTTCGTTGATTGGAACCAGTTGTTGATAATCGCTTAATTTCCCCAACCATTCGATCGCAATCAATATCGCATTCTTTCTATGACCTTTCTTTCGATCGTAATCTTTTTCACTCGATCAGCTCGATTTGCCTATTGCTATGGAGAACGACTCCAACGAACGCTTTCGATTTTATCGACGTGCGGGAAAGCGAGAGTACCGAGTGAATCGAAAGCGCCAAGAACGTAATTCATTAACTTAGCTGTTTATCTCGTTCAACTTTTTGTTATACTTCTTGATACCGAATCTATTTAGAAATACTGTATACATCGGAGAAATCGATGACGATCGATCGACGTATTCCGAAATGGGAAGTTTAGCTGGTAGCATGATTATCTATCCCTGCATAGATTTCTTGGTTACGAACTTGGTGCTTCGCCGTCGTACGTGAAATCCTTGATGAACAGAGTTCGCCCGTCCACGGCGTAAACTTCACCGCTGACGCCGTGATGAAGTTCCGACAGCTTGCCGATAAGCTTGCCGTAATAAGCTTCGCTGCATACCTCTGTGAACACAATCGAGTTCAATTAATTATCGTGGATTAATGATGGAACGCGATAAGAGATGAATAAAGTTAGAGGGATAGGTGAGAGATCTTCGTTTCTTGGACATGTTACCAAACACTGGCTGATTCGTTGCTAAACGATTCCAGGTTTCAGAGTGGAGAATTTATTTAAATTGTTAATAAATTTGAATGTTTGTTGGAATATATGAATATTAAAGCAATCTAATAATTCTTCGAAAGTACTTGACGTACATACATAATATACGAGGAGACATTTAAAAAGAAAAGGTGAATATTTTACAGCGAGAATCCAACGCATATATCGTTTCGATCGTTGATTTAGCTGTGGAATCGTTAAACAGTTTCGATAATTAACTGTTTCTCAAAGGAAGATCGGAGAACCGGTCGTGCGCATAACTAATCGCGACAGTAGGAATAACAAATTTCGCTTGCTGTAGATTTTACCGATTACCTCGAGGATCAATTTTGTCAAACGGAACGGATCCTTGCGAATCGCGAGGGTATGCCAAAAGCGAGTTCCTCGAATGCTTTGCAGGGCTTTGCTGCTATCGCGGCATGTGGATCAGATCGTGTCGTACGAGATCAAGGAATGTTAGTCATCTGGTTCGAACTTGATCCGACAATTTGCTGGTTACGAGGCTCGTGTAAAATTGTGCTCGAAAGAATTCGGCGATCTTCGTCGTTAATTAGCTTTTACTCTTCGAGTTGTTCCAAAAATCTAACTTTCTGATCGAACTGGGTAATTGCTTATTATATCATCATCCGTTATAAGCTTCTTTTCCTGCGAACGATAAATTGTTCGAAACGCGAAAGAGTTAACCGCGAATGCGAGCAGGATCTGCCAAGATCGGTGAAGGATCACGCAGGAAGTTTGTCCGGCGATCGAACGGTAAGAGATCAGGGTTAGAATTCGCATAAATATGCGGTGAATCGGAGGCCGATCCCGCGTTTAAACGAATCGTTCGTTAGATGCTAACGAATCTAGGAACCGGTCGACGATCGTGTCTAACCCTTTGATCGAACGCGTACCGTTATTGCTCTCTGTTCCTCGATGAACAGGATATCGTCCATTCGACAAGATTGACGCACGTTCGAGCATAAATCGTGCGCGTTCGAGAGCCAGGACGTTAGCGGATTCGATGGAAAACCGGTGAGAAAAATCGTCGCGATCTGAGAGGAAAATTAGACGGCGTACACATCGGACGAGAACCATTTTATTTCGTGGTGCCGTTAACTGTCGCTGGTAATCGGTGATGTAACGTATGGGATAGGAGATAGGACAGCGTGTACCACTTTGTTCCACCGAGTGGTATTTGATAATTGGAGAAAAATACGTTTGTTACGGTGCATGGCCGGATAGATTGCGGTTCGTTTATGCATTCTGGATACGGTTAGCGATGGCGGGAATCACTTGGACGGTATACGCGCAAAGAATATTTCGATTCCAACTGTATATCTCGGTTATCCGGATAAACGTCTGTCAGCGTATTCTTAACGAGTGTCTAGTTTCATTTTTCAGCGAGTGCACGGAATTAATTAGGCGATAGCTCCGAATCTTAAAGCGGTCGACCCAAATGTCAGCGAATTAATCGGAAACTGGGTTTACTTCCCGGTCCAGTTTTTGCCAGAATTTATCCTGTTTGAAACTTGTAAGCGGATCCGGAAACAGACGGCAATATTAATTAGTTAATTTATCGTTCGGTTAAAAGTTGTCGAGATTTTTTCTATATTTCTTTCCCCCGATCGGAACAACACGTGTCGTTGAACGTTCGCTTTCCGTGGATGCACGAGCGCGCGTACAGGCTGTCATTAGGTCGCGACGTGTAATCTTCGAGCGGAGTCTTGTCATTGATCGAGCGGGTCGGCGTAAACACGCGTAACGAGAATTACACGCGCAGCAGTAGCCTGCTGATTCTCTATGGAGAACGCGGCTATTGCGGTGCCTTTAATCAACCAGCTGCTTGATCGATCGAGCTTTCCACCGGCTCGTGTTTTGCCATTATTATTTGCATTCGCGTGTTCCGCTATGAATCTTCCGGTGTACACGCCCCTATACCGCTCTCTCGTTACAACAATTAATGACTCGATTACTGGACTTTTATTCGTTAGAACTTTCTTTCGCGGGACACGAACGAATGCTTCCGAAATAAATAAAATGGCCATCCTTGATCGTTCCGTAACTTTTAATTAATTCAAGACGCGTTCGCTTGATCGCCGACGATTTAAAACTAGCATCTTATAACGGAACGTCGGTAATAGCGTCTGAACGAATCGCTAATTTGGAAATTCATAAAAGTGGGAATAAGAAGCTCAATCACAGTTGGATATAGGTTCGGTATCGACACGTTCTCACGAATATGCGACACAGTCAAGTATACTTTAGCGTCGATGGTTAATTAATTAATAATGAGAAGTCGAAACATCAAAGCATCGTCGGTTTCGAGGCTATAAAGGATGCATTACGGTTGCGAACCATTAGCGAATAATTATCGCCGTGGTAACGACACCATGCAATGTGATTAAAACGTTACGAGCGTGATTCTGGATCCAATCGAGTCACGGCCACCATAAAAATGGAAACGAGGCACGGACAAAAGTCTACGTTATCAAAGTAAATATTTAAATTATTTAATTATTCGAAATGTTTGACTGCAGCTTAAACGACAAGTGACCGAAGTCGCAGGACGCGATCGGACTTTCGAGCCAAGGTTAAACGGCACACACGTTCCTAGACGGTTTTTTCCATTGTTTCCGAGTTTATCATTTACCATTCCATATATTATGAAATTCCCTGTATAATACCTTTGACATTTTCATAGGAAAGAGAAAGCAGAGAGGCGAACAAACGTAATTGCCAAGCCTTCTACATAATACAACTATACGGCTAATGTCGCAACGCGCGTATGCGAGTAGTCCTGATGGATTCGCGGCTATAACGAGAAACATGTTAAATTTCATGCGAGAAATTCCGCTAGAAAGTGGAAAGGATTCTCCGATAGGAATCGTTTGCGACGCGATAACGCGGTCTTCTCGAATCAAAGTCGAGATCGTTTCGAATCGAATGAATGGTAGAAACATTCGAGTGGCTCAGTCAACCGGTGAATTTCGGAACCGGAAACTTTACATTTCGGTTAGTCAACGCTGAACAGCTTCGAGGACCTCGTTTCCGGAGAAAGAGCTTTCGTTCGAGATACTCGATGGAAACGTGGATTGGTTTTCTTCCATGAAACTACCGATCAAACTGGTACAAAAGATACGCGTTACTCTTTGCGGAGTTGCAAAGTAGTCGCAATAAATCAACTCCGCGACTACCACGAATGTATTTAACTAACGAAACTTTGTAATTTTATCGAATTCATTATGGCAAAGAGGTGCTTTTTGTCGTTCGCTCGAGAACACGATTAACGTTCACGAATCCTTGAATTTCGTGTACGCAGTCAGTGACGCGAGACGCGCAATGACCGTAAAGAAAGAATTTTTTATGCCGTGATCGAGCAACGCGCTAAGTTCGTGTTCGATTAGACGCACGAATGGCGTATCTGTTGACAGAATCTGAGAACGTATTCCCGTTTGTTACACAACCGTGAAACGTAGGCTTGCGCCATTTCTAGATCGATGCATCGAATGAAATTGTTCAAGCTTTGTTTCGCGGTTTGCAGAAATTCCGTGTCCGGTATTTGAAAAAGTAAATACCGTATACATCAGCGAAACGGTAGTGAAAATTTGTCAAGGAACGTTCAGCAATTTGACAAATCGACGAGCTCGATCGGTATCTCGATCACCATCAGCAAATACATAAATTTTCTGGTAAACGAAGATATCGTGGCTGCGGTAGCCGTCGATCCGTGACACTTTCGCGAGTCGAGCGTGTAAATCGGCCAGAGTTTCTTCTTGGAATCGTTACGACCGCGATACCGCGCGTGTTTTTCCTTTTCTTCCTTTTTTCCTTCGCGAATCTGTTTCTCCTCTCGGATCGTGACGATTGCCGGAGGAAAAGCGTGGAACGCGAAAGTCGAGGAGAGTCGCGAAACAGACCGGCAAATCGAGACGTCGAACCAGTTTGTAGGATCCTTAACGCCGTCATTAATTAGCGAGCTCGAACGCTAAATCTTTTTACGCATAAATCTCTATTTTTCCAATTTCTCTTCTCTAGTATACCGCGCCACAATACTTCCGTAGGAAAGAAAAGAAATCCAACGATGGTGTTAACGAAAAAACTTCACTTGGTCATTTCGGGGTTTAATTTTATGTGGATCAAGATTATCGGTGAACGTTGAATAAATTTTCTGTAGGAATATTTTACCGTAGACCGAACCTATACGTTATTGACTTTACGCGCGTTACAATCCAGAATTGTCACAGTTCGATACGCCGTTAAATATCAAAGAGTACCCTGTTGCAATTCCTCGCTGACAAACGGGAACGTTTCGTATTTGACACGGTACACTTTGTTTCGCGCGTTAGCAATCGCGAGTTATGCTTTGTCGCTAGTATTTCAGCTGGACTAGCTTTGCGTCGACACCTTTTAGTGTTTATCGTCGGGAAATTCTGTCTCGGACCTCGAAAACTTACGCGTTCTCGATTGCAACGCGCAAAACGTTCGGACGCGATTTTCAGCTTTTCGTTCGCTAAACGAGACAGCTAGAGTTGTTTAGAACACGTCGCTTCCCCGATATAGTTACATACTTAGTGAATACGTTCCTCGCCGAACAATTCCAGTTGCAAACTTTCCTAATAACGCATCGTAGTTGGTAGCGTTCGAAATACCACGCAAAATGGTAACGCCAAAGATGTTGCGGTCGTTGAAGCCGAAGCTGAACGATTCCACTTATCGACAATCCGTCGATAACCGTTTAACTCGATTAATGTCAAATTAATAGAGACCATAAATATAGTTTTGAATGAAAAATTTGTCCAATTTGCAATAGATTGTTACATCGACAAAGCTTCAGTGCTACTGCACACCTCTGACTAAAACTTGGTCCAAGTCCAAGGCTAATCAGACTTAGACAACTGAACCGATCGGTTATTGGCAGACAATTTTGGACACTTGTCCAAAAAAGGGAACATACTTGTCATGTTAGAGTCAAGGATGAAATCGTAGCCAGTCAGTAGGATAAGTACAAGGTTCGATAGAGTGGTACGCAAGAAATATGTGGAGAGTACTTTCTAAAACAGATCGATTTTATGGTAGTCGATGAAACTCACGTGTGGCAAGAAGAATAAATACCGCAGCAACTAGAACAGCGGTGGATAGCCGCGTCGAGGACGATGCGGGTGATCGTGTTGTCATGGTGTCTTCGTGGTTACTGCCGTCGAAAGTGGCCGTCGTGGATCCAGGTAGCTTTGTCGATCCCACTGATCCCACTACGATCACTGGTTCGCCTTGCTTCACCTCGGTCTCTCTTTCTCCACGTCTCCCCCTTCTGCTCTGCTTGTCCCTTCAAATCCGTCATCGAGTTTTTCCTTTTCATCTTTCATCTCGTCCCTCCGCGCGTCTTTCTTTCTTTCTTAGGGTTGCAACTCCTTCGGGGCCAACTCGGAATCGATCGGAGCGACGTTGTCAACAAACGGACACTGGTAATAATACATAGTCGGTAAATAAGGACATTTGACCAGGTGACATCTATCGGTAGTACTTATAGATAAATTGCTTGATTTCTGTTGCTTCGGACATCGTGCGAAACCACATAAGTCCCCTTGACAGAGTCCAAGTACCGTCGCCGACCTTTTGGAAGGATTTTGCTATCCACAGAAGTACATAGATTGTTGGAACGGTTCTCGACGACAGAAGCAATTTCTAAGTTTCGATAGCAAACGGACACTCGAAAGAAGGTTCAACCCTTTGAGATTGTAAGGGAAGGACATATTTTTAATCGATTCGAGGACATAACTGTGTCCAATTTGTAATTAACAGTCGACCTATATGTACACGTACCATAGCGACAGGGTCAATTCGTTTTCCGTTCCAATTTCATTCTTCCTGAAACGCCTTCATTTCCCTTTCTTTCATTATGTTCCCTCTCGGTGCGTATCCTGCTTCCTTCGAATGGTCATTATACCGATAGCTACTAGACGAAGACGCGCTGTCCTTGAATGGGAAACAAAGAAAGCAACGCGTAATTCAACACGGATGAAGTAACGAGCACGCTCTTGTTCGCGTTCTTTCTCTCCACGTATTCTGTTCTCCTTTCGTTGTTCCCTCGACACTTGGCGCGGCGAATAGGAAACGAGATAGGTCAGAGCGGAGGAGCGGAAGAACGCAGTTGCAATTTACACCGCGAAATCCAGCTTTGGATGTTGGTTGGACGAAATCTGTCACTACGGTAGTAGCTGACACCGATTCGATCAGATTATTGTTGCGACCTCGAAGCACATCGTTACTCGTCCTCGGTGTAAGCGGCGCTTCTGCGAGCTTCATCCATTTTTCGACGTCGGAAATACGAAACGAGTTGGTTTTTACGAAAGAAAAACGACGGATATTTTGAGACCAACTCCGTTTCGAATGGAGTATAATGGAAAGAAATACAAGCAACGATAAAAAGTTTTGATTTTTATTAGCCAGGTTAAAGTTGATCGATCCATGGTCGAGAGCTTTTAGAGGGAAACTTTCTTTCCCGTTTACGACGAACAGTAGAATTCGCTTAAAGAAGCGTGTCGGAAACTATGGCGAACGTTTATGCTTCATTAAAACCCCAGTTTTTCGGTAGCTCGAAGCACGTGGAAACTTTTACGGAAACAAGTTCACGAACATTTAGTCGATGTACCTCGACAACGAACCAAAATTAACATTCCTTTCGAACTTTGTATATAATTGAAAGCGTTCTCGAAGCGTCGTGCAAGGTAGATAATATTCACCGAATTACCGAAGCGGTAGTCTCGGTGATAAATGCTAAATTCCGTGATCGAGAAGAAACTCGTTACAACGTATCGTTAGTAAAGGCATCGCGAGGAAGCGCGTGGGAATGCGCAAAGAAACGCAGAGCGCAAGGAAGTTTGCAAGAAAGTATGCGAGCGATTCCATTATAATCTTCGGGTATCTCTGCAGTAGACTAGGGATAGCCTCAGGAAGAACCTAGGACCTAACTGGTGCCGATCCTCGCAGGTGCGATTCGAAGATAGAAACGGTTACACGCGTCATTTGGTCGTTGTCTTTTGCAACAATGACTGGTTACATTTGTTAAGGGTCTGGGAGAGCACGGCGTGGCAAGATAATAGGTTGCACGTGCCGTACGCGCTGTAAGGATCCTTCTTCTCGTCATAAGCACTCTCTCGTAGCCGTGCGATTAAATTTAATCTCGCCTACGTTGCGAGTAATAATTACGGAATAATTATGAGAACGGTCTTTCGAGCCACGGTGTCGTGCTCAAAAGAAACGTTATTACGGAATTACTAGCACCGATTACCGAGGCGCTTAACGGCAACCTTCTTTCTCCTTCTTTCTTCCTTTCTTCCACGCGTTTAATCTCGAACCGGAATATTTCTCTCTACAATATCGACGTCGCTTTCGTGAAATATTTATCATAAACGGGAACCGGGATTCCGGTTTATCTTGAATTCATTTCGAACGAACTCGGTGTAAATTCCAGAAAAATGTAGAAAATGTTAATTCGCGTTGATTGACGGTAATGCTACGTTAGAAAAATATGCGTCGTACTAATAGAAAGCTTCTCTAGCTGGTTCAGTTGTAGGATTTCGTGGTGTCGGTTGCTCTCCATGCTTTCATGGCTGGTCTGGTATGCGGGCCGGTTGTGTTCCTACAGAAACCAAGAGGTTTCTGTCTCAACCTAGAAACCGCCTTCTGCGCCTCGTCGACCCTCCACGAGAAAAGAAAGACGAAACAGTGGCCAGTAATTAGAGTAGACTGTAGATATTTATGCAAATTCGTGTTTTTATATGAAATCTAGCCTAGACGAATATATTTTTACTATTAAGTCATCGCGAAATAAATCATCGAGAAGAAAGGCGAAGGAAAGAACAACTTTCCAGCTGGTTAATATTATGCTAACAATTTCAGGCATCGAACTGAAGAATTCAACAATCGTTGCACACATTTTGCGCGTTTCTGTGTACACGTTATAAGCGCATAAATATCGCAGTCTACTAACCAAAAATGATTATTACTCTCGCGCAGACGCCCCGTTCGTGATCTGTTCTCCACGCTGTTTTGCATCTACCTATTTTTTGAACGATTTCGAGCGATCGTAACGCCGTCTCGACTTTACGAATTTACCGTGGCACCTTTTGACGCGTAAACAAGGTGTTTCCTTTCCGTTTGCCATTCTACCCGACAGAATTAGAAAAGCAACTTTATCGCAGCGATGTAAGCGGAATAGGAGGTGGTGCTCGTCAAAACAATTTTCTCTCGTTAACTCATCGGCCGGACTCATTAACTTCCGCTAATAAGCATGGCCAAGTGCAAGTGAAACACGGTCTAGCGTAATGGGTAATTACTGTTGCCTGTAATTATACATCCTTTGCAACTAAAACCATTGAATGCTTACGCGTGCTGCTGCAAAGCGTCATAGAATTTCAATTTGTAAGCAAAAAACCGAGCAGTATGTTTATGAAAGTACACGAGTACTCTGCGATAGCAATATTCGTGTTCCCTAGAAAACGTTATTTGAACGATTCAAAGAACGTTCGATATTTTTTTACCGCGTATTCGATGCAACCGTGAAAAATGTACAGCGTAATTCTACACGAAGTCTTTTGATTATACGTTACGGGCAACCTTCTTTCCGCAATACTGATTTCACTTTCGACTCGAGCCTGCTGATTCTACCGTTTTGTCATCCATTCAGAGAGATTCCCAGTTACTCGCGGAAAAGAATAAATATTTCACCCTGTTCACCGTATTGGTTATCCCGAATTAAAATTTTTTAAGAAATTTTCGAATCATAAAGTTAGATTAACGAAGAAGTTTCCTTTGACATTTAAGATACTTAACGACCACCTGCGACTGAACGAGTTCGATAACATTACTGGCAACTGAGCGTTGAAAAACATAGTTAGCAGAAGAAAATAATTAAGGAAATGGTCAATTAAGTTGATTAAAAATAGAATTGCTACCTTATTGGACTTCCGACAGATTCGTCGCGGTGTTTACCGCACAGATCGATCGGGATTAATCGCAAAAGGAAGAAAGTTTCGTAATACCGTTACGTGGTCGATTATACGAGCGGAAAGAGGGGACCGTTCGATTCGGAGTTGCAAATTCTGCACGATGGTTGGATTGCGAAACTCGTGAAAAAAAAACGTTTCAAACTCTTCATTCATTCTCCCGGCAAGGAGAAAAACGATTGGACCTTTTTCTCGTTTCGTAACGCATCGCGATGATTCGTATGGCAGTACGCAACCGTGGCTAATCGAGACGCGTTATTACCGATTCCGTGTTCAGCAGCCTCGCGACGACACAACGCGCGAAAGTGCTCGGAGGTAACGAGGAACGGGCCGTTGACCGTAAATGGAAGACTTTCTCTGATGGAAACGCCATCGACAAGCAGGGTCAAAGTCTGATTCGATCTTTCCTGATTACGTTATAGGATTAATATTCGTTTATATACTGTGGAAGAGAGAGAAAGGGAGAGTGAAAGACGTAGAAAAATAATAATAACTCTATTCTGTTCGCATCACGCGATTGATACTCTCTTTAACTACCTTAACGATGTGCAGGTGGCTGTAAGAGCTCGCGCATTTAAAAAGTTTTGTTCTAGTTACAGACGTGCGAGCTCGGCTTATTTGTCACGCGATCTCCCATTACACCGCGGCGAACCGATATAAAAATACAGTTGGCCAGATCTGGCGTGGGTGATAATTTTCATCCGGATCCAGATTTCGGTTGATCGCGTTGTCGCGACAATCGAAGTAAGGATTTGCGAGCGAACAAACTCGCGTGCCGTTAACGGGCGTTCAACCGTTAGATTATCATTGTCTAATATGAGTCAGGTTTGTGCCGTGAGTCTGTTGTTGCATAAAAGGCGTTTAAGTATGCATAGAATCAGCCGCACGGAACAATAACACGACGAAGCCGTGAAGTAATGGGAAAGATTATTTATGGATTGCGATATCTCTTATATCTTCAGTTGAATTACGACGATCTTGGAAAGTTCCCGTGGACGCGCCTTCCTGACACAGATTTCGCCTGGAAAATCCATGAATTTTAATATTGTTCGTAAATTGCGAAAAAATGCCGACTTCGGCCAAAAAACGGTCGATCATTTTCCAGTATTTCGTGACTGGAAATCTTCCTTAACGAACGGAGTTGGAACCTCTGTCGTGTCGCGTTGCCATTTTATCTTGATGATAAATTGCCCGACGGATTAACTTGCTCGTAAAGAACCGCAATTAAAA